AAACATTGTATTGTTTTATCTGTGCAGCCATATGAAAAGTGGCAACATAAGCTAAATGCAATATATGAAAAGAAGTCAGAACTTATTCAGTATACAGTCAGGTAGTGTGTCATAAACCCTGCTCCTAGTCTCTTACAGCAGCTTGCAACGGTCAGTAGTAAGACAGTCTGCGTCCTCAGGTAAGCAATCTAAAACAGGGTAGGCAGCCTTCAGGGTTGTGTGATCTACTTTGTTTTTTACTTGAACCTTGAAAGCAACCAAATTGAAGCCAAGTGCAAAATAAGAACTGCTTAAAATTCTCAAGGATAAGAACTGGAGTCAGATGCAAAATAAGCAGTTAAAGAAAATAAGAGTTAAGGAATGGGATGTGCAACCCAGGAAACTGGGAACAAACACCCACATACACTTGAGGAGAAGCCAGCTCCCTGTAGCTGCTCCTTCTACAGGCCAATGGATGAGGCCAAGTTGGTCTCTCCCTTGCCATGATATTCTTCCTACATTAGTCCCTGCGAGACTTCCTTAATCAGAAGTCCCAAAAACTTTCTCTGCAGAACATGTGCAGAGGATTGCATCTTAATTACTTTATTGACTTTGGTTCATGCTATAGAAAGTCCCACATTTACCTTCATCTCTGGCTTTTCTTACTTTCTTCTTCCTGTCCCTCTGTGCCCAGGAAGGGGTTGCTCCCATTGCGCTCTGAAATCTAAGGAAGACAAGTCTGTACTTCACCCACAACTGTTACTTAAGACACAACCTTATTCACTGAGGTAAGTAAAAAAAAAACTATCAGAAATTTTAAGTAAATATGCCAGACAATTTTGAAAGATGGGTGAAAGAATGATATGATGAGCATTAAATATCTGATGAAGAGAGGGATGCAGGGCAAGAAACTCAGGACAGACAGCCTTATAGTATCTCTCTCTCACACACCCACACACCCCTTGTGATGCAAGAGCAGATGCAAGCTGTTTAAAGGATGGACTGTGAAGGAAGAAAAACATTTTTCTCAGCCCTCCCCACCTCTCGCAAGTAAGCCTCTCATTATGACAATAAATAGGGAAATGCTTTTGAAGTGTCCAAGCACCCCAGCCATTTTTGCCCTTCCTTTTTGAGTTCAATTTGAATCATCCTGCCATTTCCCCTTTTCTCAATATTAAGCAGGAAAACTTCATAGCTGCATAAAGAAAATTGATATATATATATTTTGCATTTTAGTATGTATAGAAATAAATATAGACGTCTTCAAAAATTCAGATTAATTTACAAATTGTCTGTTTTGAGAAAACACATATTGGAAGGCCTCTTCAAAAATGAGGTTATATGCTAACATTTTTTGATGCCAATTCAAATAAATAATCAAAAATTATTTTTTCTTAAGATGGTTGTCTCTTGTCCATGTTACCATTAACACTCACTGTTCTTGAAGTCTTCTTTGAAGCTTTTCCTTTGTAAGCTTCTTTTCTGCATCACTTTTCATCATGTTTTTTCGATATCGATGGGTCATGTCAATTCTAGGAGAAAAAAGTCACATGCTAAATTTGTATAGTTCTGTAAAAATATTAATTTTACCAAGATGATCACTTTACAAATTAAAGCAAGTGAATAGCTTATATTTTGAAACAGTGGCATGTAGTTCATGTTACATAGTAAGATTACATAGTAGAGTCAATGTGATGGAGTGGTTAAGAGTGCCAAAGTAAGATTGGGAGATAAAGGTTCAAATCACCACTCAGCCATGATATTCACTGAGTGACCATAAATAAAATACTTCCTCTTCCTAACCTACTTTACAGGATTAGCATGGGGAAGAAATGGAAAAAAGTTTATTTTAAAATCAGCTATAAGGTTCTAGAATTTCCAAAGCTCTTAAAAAGTGGACAGCCTGGCAATATTTTGTAAAAACTTGCAGAAAGCACACACATTAACATCTTCACTCAGAATGAATGGTTAAGATGATGGGTGGTATCCAATTGTGCATTGATGCAATGGACTTCCAATTGTGCAAAGGTGACTTTCCTTCAACCTGCAGCCACCCAAAATCTGCTCTGGAGGATTGACAGATTGCAGGGGGAAGAGGGAAAAGGTACCGTATTTTTTGCTCTATAAGACTCACCTTTTCCCTCCTAAAAAGTAAGGGGAAATGTGTGTGCGTCTTATGGAGCGAATGCAGGCTGCGCAGCTATCCCAGAAGCCAGAACAGCAAGAGGGATTGCTGCTTTCACTGCGCAGCGATCCCTCTTGCTGTTCTGGCTTCTGAGATTCAGAATATCTTTTTTCTTGTTTTCCTCTTCCAAAAACTAGGTGCGTCTTGTGGTCTGGTGCGTCTTATAGAGCGAAAAATACGGTAAGTCACAGTACATCCGCTGGTGCGACTCTTGACCTTGCACTCACAGTATGTAAGATGCTTACATCCCAAACCTACATATGTTAGGTTGAAGACAAGCCCCACAGAGTTCAATCCAACTTGCTTACAACTACAGCTTTGCTTCACCAGACTTGATTCACGAGTCAATTTACAACAGGTGCATTACACATCAAAGTAAACCACTAACCATGGATTACTGTGAAATGCAAACATAGCCTATGAGTGCTGCTTACATTTCCTCAACTTCATCATCTTCATCCACCCATGCTGGTTTTTCAGATGGAAGAAAGTTGTCTTCCATTTCATTATCCACTTCTGAGCCATCAGATTCTCCTTCAAGGAGATTCCCACTGAGCACATCATCAACCTTAAAAAAAGAAAGAATATTTTATTTAATCTTAGAATTTAATAACATGTTACAGATTGCCACCCATGAATCTTTAAAAATTCCTTTAAAACTTATCATTGTTTATTCTCAGACCACTTGTCAGGAGCCTGAAACTGAGATAACTGACAAGCCCAGTCTCAGCTGTACTGCCACATGAATCCTGAGGCATTTCGGACAGAACTTCCTGATAACCACATACCTGATGAACATTGTGCTGTTCTACAGCACCCATATAATAGCTTTCAGAGTTCAGAAGGCATACTTGCACTGTTTGCTGCCATGACAGGACAGTACCCCACATCTGGATACTATGGTGAATTTACAAATATTTACGTGAACTGAAAAAGTTAGGAATTTTTTTAGGGAGTGAAGAACTAATTTGCTTGAATGTTACAGTGGGTATTCAGACTTAATTTACCACCTCCTGGAATACTTTCAAAGTGGACGAGACAGAAGATTGTGACCTCTAGATAAGGCATTCACACAGCCACCTACAAAGGTGGACAACCATTAGCAACTTTACAACCTCGAATGTTTGACTGAAGCCACAATAAATTTATTTATTTTAAAAAAATTATTTTATTTTAAAAAATTTATTTTAAAAAACAGCACAAAAGAGTGCCCCTTTTCTATGCTGTGCTATCATAACTACAGCTGCACCCCTCTCTTCTGAACATTTGCTACTGAACCGGCAGGGCCGGCACCAGTTTTTGAGGACCAATGCTCCAGGTGTGTAAGACAGGCAGAAATTCCGTAATATGTACTGGTGAAACATCTGCATCACTGTATCTGCGTGTCCATAAACATCCACTCGTGCAATTCAAGCTTATCACGCTGCCAGCAGCTCGGGCAGGGATGTGGGGCTCATAGAAAGAAGAGAAAGCTAGTGGAACGAACCATTATCCACTAGATACCGTGAGGCTGATTATTGCTATCCAGTCCGGGGGGGGGGAGGGGACACCAAAACAGGCTTCCCGCCTAATACCTTCGCCAGCGGGCCTTGCAGACGCTGCAGGTCGTCGTCTCCTTCCTCCACGTCCCCAAACAGCAGCTCCTCCAGGCCACGCTCCGCCGCGGGTTTCTCTGCCACGAGAGCCAAGTGCTGAGCCCGACGGATCTCCTCTGCGGCAGCCGCCATGTGGCCGCCTCGCTCCTCGCCTCTTTCAAGCGGCCCTTTTCCGACCCGAGGCCGCTTTCTGCCCTTCGACGCGCCTCGCCGGCCCTCAGCCCTCGCCTCCATGCTACCTCTGCCTTCACGGGACCACAAACCGGAAGCGGAAAGGCCCGCACGTTCGCGTCGCGGAAACCGGAAACGCCCTTCCCGCTCAGTTACCATAGAGAGGCACGCAGGCGCAAACACGTCCGCCCTCCCAGCCACAGTACTCAATGGAGCGGCCGTGACGCCGCCTGAATGAACATGCGATGTAAACAAACAGATAGATTACCAGACAGATACGCGGGATGAGGGGGCTTTCGGCGCGAGCTCCTCACCCCTCCCCACCCCAAGGCAAATGGAGACCGGAATAAAACGATCTGCGTAACATTTGTCTTTTTCTCTATGTCTTTGCCTTCCCCCGCTCCGTGAGAAGCACTGCCACGTGACCTCCTTGGCCCCGCCTCCTTTTCACATGACCTCAATGTTTCAGTGTATCCCCCCCCCAACACACACACACTCTCTTTCCCCCCTTTTTTCCCCTCATAAGAACCGCTCTCTAGGCGGGCTGTCCCATCACTTGTAAAACAGCGGGGGGGCAGGTGAAAGCACCTTTTTAAAAAAAAAGATTAACGTCTCCTCAGTTGAAGGCAAACTGAGACGGAGAGAAGCATCCCATCAAATCTGTAGCCGGTCGCGGCGACCGCTTTAACGCCGCGGCTGCGACCGTCCTCGGTCCCCGTCGCCTCTCCTCCCCCCCCCTCTTCCGCATCATAGTTCAGGCCGCCCAGCCGCGTACGGCGAGCGAGGGCGATCCAAACAGCGAGGGGGCCAATGGGAGCGCGCCGTGGGCTGGGGCCGTACTACGCGTGCGCAGTGCGGTTATGCTAATGTTGTTGATATTCTGGGGCTTGGAGTTGAATGTCTTTTCTCTCACACACTCCGCGCTCTTCCCCCCCGTTTAAAGTGAGAGGCTGAACTTTCCTCCTCCTCCAACCTGGCTCTGCCCCTCGGAAAGGGGAGGGGGAGAGTCCGGGGGGGTGGGGGCTGAGCCGAGGGGGCGGGAGGGGGGAGGAGGAGGAGGAGGTGAGCGGCGGCGGCGGCAGCGGCATCCTTTGCCCATGAGGGCCTGATGGAAAACACAAAGGACCTGGTGAGTAGCGCAGAGCAGCCCCCTGGGGGGGTCGAGGGAGGCAGAGGCAGCGGCCAGCACCGGGCAGGGCAAGAGGCTTCGGCTTCAGAGCGGGGTGGCTGACCTGAGAGGCTTCAGGGGGTCACGCTGCTTTGGGTTCCCTTCCTGAGGGGCTGGGGGACCCACGCGAGAAATGGTGTGGGGAGCAGCCTTGCATTCTGTGCCGTGTGGGAGGGAAGTCAGCAGCAGTGGCGGACTGAGAAAGGCAACTCTGGGCAGGGAGGAGGGTGGGATGTTCTGCGAGAAATGCTGCTCCGTATAAGCTGCCTCTTCTCCATCTTCCCCGACCCACCCACCCGTGTTTTCTTACTCCCCACTCCCTGGCAACATGTGCAAAAGTGGCGGGGACTTGAGAGAAACTTCTGCCTCCTGTCGGAGTGCGAGTGGTTCATTCATCGATGCCTCTTCGAGGTTTCCAGAGTCTCTTCCGCGTTCCTTGGGCTGCCCGTTCCTTGTTGCTGTGTGTGCTGTGCAGAGAACTCGATACCTCTTTTTGTGTGTGTTGGTACCTTGGCCAGTACTGCGGCTCCAACGTTGCCCTAGTAGCTTAATGATCAAAAAGAGGGGAGATTTTGTGCCTCCTTGAGCATCTTGAGCATCTTGTGTACAGTGGTACAGTGGCGTAGCGTGGGGGGTGCAGGGGGGGCTGGCCGCACCGGGCGCAACATCTGGGGGTTAGGGTTAGGGGGCGCAAACCCACGAGTTAGGGGCCGCAAATCCACGGGTTAGGGGCACAAATTACTTGCCTTGCCCCGGGTGCTGACAACCCACGCTACGCCACTGCAGTGGTACCTCTGGTTACGTACTTAATTCGTTCCAGAGGTCCGTTCTTAACCTGAAACTGTTCTTAACCTGAAGCACCACTTTAGCTAATGGGGCCTCCTGCTGCCGCTGCACCGCTGGAGCACGATTTCTGTTCTCATCCTGAAACAAAGTTCTTAACCTGAAGCACTATTTCTGGGTTAGCGGAGTCTGTAACCTGAAGCGTATGTAACCCGAGGTACCACTGTATATGCTTTGCAAGGGGATGTGCAGACCAGTGTTCAACAAACATTTCATTTTATTGTTTTTAGAAGGTTGAATGTGGCCTTTGAGAGGATAGAGGAAATGTTTAGGTCTGCCAATGTTCAGTAGCGTAGAAGAGAAAACCTAGTAATCCGGGAAATGCCATGACAAGCCTTGGTTCTATTTCTTTATTTTCCTGTCATCCTTGCTACTTTTCCTCCCCTAACATTCACACTAATCTGTAGGATTCTGCAACCCGCTTTGTTGCATACAAGCATCCTGGAGCAGAAAGTAAATGAGTCAGTTTTACCTTTCTCAGGGAAAGCTTTCAGAATTAATGTTATAATGAAGACTTTAAAGAGAAATTGCCAAATTAAGATATGCTGAATGCTGACAATGAGAAGTTTCACTGGATAAAGTACGAAAGATGTAACTTTTTCATTTAAAATGCATTGACTTTAATGCATTATATTTGTGACGTTGAAATGCTGATATCAGCGTAAAGTGTCATTTCCTTTGCTAAATGTGGCTTAGTTGTAATTAAACTTAAAATGCAGAACATTCTGTTACGTATATAAAACCAGTGTGGTGTGTTGGAGTAAGATCTGGGATACCAGGGTTCAAATCACCTCTTGGCCATGAAGCTCAGTGAGTGACTCAGTCACTGCCTCTTAGCCTAGCTTATCTCACAAGGTTATTGTGAGATGAAATGGAGAGAGGGAGTACAATTTATGCCACCTTGGAGGGAAGTGGGATATTAACTTAGTAGCAATAATAAGTAAACATTGAGCCCTATTTTAATGTGTGTGTTAAGAGATACAGTAGTTTTAAAAGTTTTTTATTTGTGACAATGTTGCTTTGGACACTGCTGATGCAGAGCTTTATTCTCAAACTTTTTAGCGCTTTCCTCCCTAACTTTCCATTCCATTATGTATCTAGACTAAACACCTTTTTTGTCTTAAGGCAGTCTTCCCCAGCCTGATTATCCCTGATTATTAGCCATGCTGGCTGTGGTTGATGGGAATTGTAATCCAAAACATCAGGAAAGCATTGGGTTGGGAAGGCTGTCTTAAATGACGTGTGTGGCTTTGTCTTGCCTTTCTACAATACTTGATTGGGCTTTAATAGGGAAACACTCATGTGCATGTATACTAACTATTCTCATTTGCTTCAGTCTCCTGCCCCATTAATTTGTCCACTGTTCTCTATTCTGCCCATTGTGCATGGACTGTATACCAGAACATGGTAGCATGTCTGTCTTGCAAATCTTTTACATCCTTAAACAGAGTATCAGCAAATGCCTTACAAAAGCTTCTGAATGCATAGCTATTGGAGGGAACACTGTGTTCTCGATGTTGTGTTGTCAGTTAACATGAGAGAGCATTTGGATCTTACAGACCTAGCTGGTCCCCTATGTGAACTAATTATGCATTCTAGAATAGTCCCAAAGCCTTCTGTGATGTTTGTTGGTTCCTTGACAGATCTGTTGATATGGAAAGTGCTCACTGAGGGTAAAAGTTCTGAAAACTTCTGGATTAATGTATACTGGAAGACAACTGGGTCATACCTTCTGCTATCACTGTTGGTACCACAACACACAACAGCATGTGCATTAAATCTTATGGGCCAATCATGCAACCTGCTGCACTAACAATAGGTTTGTAGGATAAGGACCAATTATTATTTTGTTGCTGCAGTTCTTAAAACAAATTTTTATTGGCTTTACTTTTTATACAAATACAAGAACCATTAAACACTTATGCAGCAGTGCATCTAGTGGTGTTTTTTCTATCCATTGACTTTAGACATGAGCTTACACATTCAATGTTCAAACATATTACTTAATGTAATCTCTCCACTGAAAAGATTGAGCTGTTAGGATAACAATGTCTCGATTTTGGTCATTAACATAGCTAAAGAAAGGGCTCCACGTTTATTGGAAGGTGTCTCTTTTCATTAAGCCTTTAATTGTCCTCTTGTGTCTGGTGAGACGCTCAGACATTGCTGCACCCCAGATATTATTTTCCCAAATGCTCAGAGTTATTTCAGTCTGGTTCTTTTATTATTGAGCTATCACTAATCATGCTGTGGTCAGTAAGAAGCCTACTAGTTCTCTGTAGTGAAGGGTGGAGCCCAAGTCTATGTCCAAAGACAGTAAGGCTAAGGTAGGATTTGGAGAAAGAGGTTGGCTTGTAATTGTGGATATAATGCAGAATATTGCAAAATTTCCCACCAAACATGAATAAACCAAGTTTTCCATAACCATTTCAACATAAAGGGCAAAGGGAGGGATTAATTTTTGCCAGCCTGACTGTCACCCGGTGCCAGTGGAGGCCTCCTGTAAGCAAGCAGAGATTGTTTTGGGTGGTAATGGCCCAGATACCTCATTTGTGATCTTCAATTGAGTGGCCTAATTCTGATTCCCATACAATTTGAAGGCCTCCAGCACCCCCTGCTTCATGAACTAATAGATTGTTGTATATAGGGAAGCGGCATCTTTCAGGTCATATGCTGGTTACAGCTGCATTGTTATAATCTGTAATGATTAGCTATGGCTGTAAGACAGCAATGAGTTATTACTTTGACTTGTCAGTTGGTTGTTGTAGCTATGTAAAAATTGAGGTCATTGACAAATGTTGCCTAAAGTCAGTGCACGAAGCTGTTGTTTGACATGAGCTAGGCAGAAAAGAGGTGTTTAGAGATGGGGTTGGGAACTGCTTGTCTGCATGACATTACAGAAGATTTTTGGTCAATGTTGAAGCTATTTATGTTGGTGCAACATTATATGCATAATGTTTAGCACTGCAGCAAATGATTATGTTGAAGTTGCTATTGAAAGGGATGAATGAGCTGTTGCTACAATTGATTCATATCAAAACCATTTTGTCATCTTCACAGTCACACAACTTAAGTTTCTCCTGTCTCTTTCTTGTTCTTCAGATTGCAAATGCCTTGGGATGAGGATGGATTTATTTATTTAGAACATTTATTGGCAGCCCAAGCGACAACGTCCTCTGGGTAGTTCACACAGAGTACAATTTAAACATTGATTTTCAGTGTTTTAATTAATCATTCCCTGCCCTTCAAAACTAGCACTAGCAGCATAACAGCATTTAAAATCAGAGAAAAACAATCAGTCTATGGGTATTCTGGGGCAATATGCATCCTGCTCTTCTTCGCCAGGACTTGTTAGATCCCTGAAATGTTTAAGCTGTAAGTTAAACTAGAAAGAATTGTAGTCTGTGGCCATAATAGTTTTTAAAAGTGGACAATCATTGCAGCATATATTTAAGTAACTGTATTAGTTATGCTGCAAATGTAATCAAGTTCTGTGGTGCCTTAACTGCACTTGGGATAGTGGTCTCTAGCTCTTTCTCTTTTAAGTTCTCAATACCATGCTGCTATGCAAACTTGCCACCCAAGATGAATAAAATTTCAGTGGGTGATCATCACAGAAATGCTAGTACTTCTTTAAAATTATAGCAGAAATTATAATAAAACATACTATGTATGTAACATGGATGGATGTTTCTCATTTTGTGAATGTCCAAATATGTAATTTTTTCAGGCTTTCCATCTCCTGACAAAATTTACTGTGACTTTTGCTGTGGAACATTGTATTTACTTATCCTGCCTCACCCTACAAATTATGAAAGTTGCTGTGTGAATAAGTGTATGTCAAGTACTCATGTGTAATACAGTCATTACATTTTCACAGGCTCTTCTATCATCCCAGTAGCACGTATGAGCAATTCAAGTTTGCATGACTGTACTTTGCAGGTTGCAATCACTATCTTTTTCTCTTAATGATGCTCAGGTTGTGTCTAATAGTCATAAGCAGTATAATAGTTATGGGACAGAGATAGCTTTGGTTGCCTTGGTGGATAACTTAACGATGAGAACTGGACAGGGGGAGTGTGTCCCAGTTGATTCTGCTGGACCTCTTGGTGACTTTCAAAGCCATTGACCATGGTAGCCTTGCTGGGATAGGACTTGGAGGCCCTGTTTTACAGTGGTTCCATTCCGTCCAGGAGGGGCCAACCCAGAAGTTAGTGCTGGGGGACTCTTGTTTGACACCTTGGCTGTTGGCTTGCGCAGTCCCTCGATGTTACGTTTTGTCCCTCATGCTATTTAACATTTACATGAAACCACTGGGAGAGGTAGTCCAGAGTATCAGGGTTCAGTGTCACCAGTATGCTGATAACACTCAGCTCTATTTCTCCTTTCCACCTAAATCCAAGGAAGCTGTGTTGATTGTAAACTGGTGTCTGTGATCAGTAATGGACTGGATGAGGGTGAGCAAATTGAAATGTAATCTACAGGTAGGCAAGACATAGATGCTCTTGGTCAGTCAGAAGGCATAACAGGGAACAGAGATTCCACCTGTGCTAGGTGGGATAGCATTCCTTCTTGAAGACACAGGTTTGCTATGTCTGGGCATACTCCTGGACTCAGCCCTGATCATGTTCGCTCAGGTTTCTTTGGTGACCAGGAGTACATTTGCACAGCTAAAGCTAGGGTGCTGGCTGTGCCTGTTCCTTGAGATGTCTGATTTGACCACAGTGACACATGCCTTAGTTACATGCCATTTGGAATACTGTAATGCCCTCTTCTTGGGAATGCCTTTGAAAAGTGTATTGCTCTAAATGTTGGACATTCAAATACTGCTGACAGGTCTGGAACTGTTATGAGTGGAAGACACTATTTTTCAGTGGTCTGCTCCTTCCTAATTGCTCAATATTGGAAGGTAGCATTTGATGACTTCTGTTCAACTGTATGCCTACTGTTTATCATAAGGAACTACTTTGTCCATCCTGCCATAGAATGGGATTGTCTCATTTATGGATTGGGGTGCTATTGATATGTGGATAAAAACTGGAATTATTATTTTATTTTTACAACGATTTCAGGAGTGGTATTTGTTTTAGCAAATAAAATGTGTAGCATGATCTGCAGTATGCAAGGGATATCTCCTTACTAATGGCATTCTGAGATTGCGCATGGTAGAGCAGCCATTCACATAAAATCTAACTTTTGTGATGCTTGTATTATTCTATCTCTGTCAGTTGCCATGGAAGTGTTTCTATGACAAATCATTAACTTTATGGGAATAGTCTACTTCAAAGACTGAGAATATGTGATGGAAACAGATGAGGGGTGGGTTGTGCTTAGTGGCTAACAAAAGGGGGGAAATGGACCCTAGAAGTTGCAAAGAAGAACAGTGATACACTCTGGCTCTGGCTTTTCTCTCTAGTTCTGGTGTGAAATGAGAATATACCACAGAAAAGCTCCACAGTTTTCTGAAGAGAAAATGGTAGGTCAGTGAGCTTAATTCCCTTCTCTGGGTTGTTACGTGGGGTTGCATCAAGTGTGGTGTAGTGGTTAGAGTGTCGGACTAGGACCTGGGAGACCCGGGTTCAAATTTCCACACAGCCAAGAAGCTCACTGGGTGACCTTGGGCCAATCACCTGGTCTCAGCCTAGCCTACTTCAGCTAATATATGCTGCCTGCTGGTTAGCCAAAAGTGGATGAACTGTTGATAAACAATGCTGCGTATACCAACACATGATAAACTTACCCTTGAATTCTGCAAAGACTATTGAGGACTTTGGTGGCATAATTGAAATCCGTAACTTCAGGACTGATGCATTCTATAGAGAAGCTAGGAAACCAACATAATTTTTGTATAGCTCATTGCTTTACATTTGTCTATATGTAAAGCAACCTAAGTGCTCTTCTGTGATTTCTACAGTGGAATATATAAGGGTAATAAATTAAGTGTTTGTGTTTGGTTATTGAACATAATTTTGTTGGGTGCTCATCCTGAATATTGCTTTGTGTAGTGCAAAGTATTTCATTTTTAGTTTATTGTATACCATTGCACCTATGTAACACTTGCAAATTGCTTTTCATTTTGTCTGTCTACATGTGTTGTTTCTCTGTGTAACTTAAGATTATATAGTATGGATCTTCCACACTCAGTGGAAACCTGTTAAAATGCTGAAATATCTCTTTCAGATCCTTTTGTTGAGAGGTTTTAACATTTTAGCTTTTCTTTTTAGACTGAACATTCTTCAAGATCTGAAAGGAAGAGACGTGATTCGTTCGGGATGTTTGATGGTTATGATAGCTGTAGTGAGGATACCAGTAGTAGCTCAAGCTCTGATGAGAGTGAAGAGGAAGTTGCACCCTTACCCTCAAACCTCCCAATTATCAAGAACAATGGACAGGTCTACACATATCCAGATGGCAAATCTGGCATGGGTGAGTGCATGATTTTTCAGTGGAATGCTAAATCAAATGACCACTTCTTATTTCTATGGTGCCAACTTCTTTTTTCTGCTTGGATGTTAGGAGCAGCGACCAAAGACTGATGCACATATGTGTCGCTTTGTGTGAAGACTCTTCTACTGTTTCATGTCACTAAACTAAAGCTAAACTGCTCCTAGACAACCATAGAAGTGTGCTTAAGTCCTAACAAAGTGCGTGCATGATTCCTTCCTTTAGCATGCTTACAGAAAAATATTCAGAGTTCAGGAAGAAGGGGACATCACCACACCTGAAAACTTAAGAGATATTGGCTTGGATCCATAGTTCCCATAGGTGGTAATCGACTACACTCACTCAGAGAAGGCTTACTGAAATTAATGGATCTAACTTAGTCATGTTCAGTAATTTCAGTGGATCTGCTCTGAGTAAACTTGAATATCACCCCCTGAGTTCCTCTCACAGGGCATTCTCACTGGAGAAGAGGAGGAGGTGAATTTCGTCTGTTCCTGCATCTTATTGCAGACACTGAATAGTTGCTCTGGTGGCTTGTGGGACCATCTTGAAGAGTGTTGAGGTGCTCTTGGGGGAACAGGAAGCAGCAACAATTGTCGCCTTCCCTTCCTCCAGTGGGAGCCTGTACTGAATCTCAATTCCTTCCATTTGTGGAAGTTGCACCTTGGATCCAGCCCATTGGAGAGGTGGCACACACTCCTCTACCAAGGAAGCCACAAGCTAGACCATCTAGCATTTCTTCCCAAGCCATGCTCCAGATTTCCTCTCCATGTCTGTGCATGCACACAAAGTTCACAAAAATTGATACAAAAGAGGTTCTAATCCCAGTTGGGATAGTAGGGGGCAATATAAGAAAAGAGCAGCAAGATTTGGGATGAGGGAAGCTTGTGTGTGTGTGTGTGTGTGTGTGTGTGTGTGTGTTGCGTGTTGCCTTTTATCTGAGGATCACAGGGTGGGTGACAGTATAAAAACTAAAAAATACACAACATAGTAACAAACAAGACAATAACACACCCCAGCTATTTAAAAACTTAACTGTTTTTATGAAATCAAATGTTTTAAGTAATTGTTTCTAGTGCAGTATGCTGTTTATTAGGGCTTGGCAATATCTGGTTTTCAACAACGTGGTATATCATCAGCTAAACATCATGATATACCAGTTGAAGTAAGGTTGTAACTATGTAGAGGCGAATGGGGTAATGTGCCTGCAACTGCTACTACTTTGGGGTCTAAAACTGATACATGTTTACTTACCTTTAACATATTGGGACAACTGTTATTTTATAGTACAGAGCAGCAGGGGCATCAGGAATCATGCGAGAAGTGATGACCGGCTTCATAGTTTTCCCCACGCCACAGTTTTTTTTTACAAAGCACACACATACATCATGATTCGTGATACATCACCATGTCAGATATTATGAAACCATTATCACGTTGCAGACCGCAAACCAATTTTGGATGATATATCAATACATTGCCCAGCCCTACTGTTTGTAGCATACTTGTGGAGGATGCCTTCACCCAATTTTGGAAGGGTTTCCCCCTCAGTCTGCACATTGAGTGTAGGCCCCTGACTCTCCTGAGAGCCCTTTATGGAGGGCTGCTGGGGAGAAGAGAAGAAGGAGCAGGGAAGTCAGCTTCTGCCAGCCTTCTTCTGTGGGTTAGATCTGGAGAAAAGCACGTTATGCGCAAATAAATAAATATTTTGGAAGATTCAAACTTTTTGTACAGTGGAAGTGGTAGTTCATTCTCTTCAACAGAAACGACTCTCCCATGTCAAATTAAGGAAAGAGGAAGAGAAAGAAGTCCAAGATAAAAAGCTGTTTAGAATCTACATAGAAGCTATTAAATATCTGATTGATGAAGGATTGTATTATAAAGATAATATATCATGCATATTTATATTTGGGGTGTGTCTAAGTGTTGATAGCCAACACACAGTTTGAGTTGACTATCTTCTATGTGGACTGCATAGAGCCATGGGTGCTTGACAATGAATGTGGCACTTTATAGTATAGATGTAATACATTGGCCATCTTTCTCCCTTTATCAGCTACCTGTGAAATGTGCGGGATGGTTGGTGTCAGAGATGCCTTTTACTCTAAAACCAAGCGCTTCTGCAGTGTTTCCTGCTCAAGAAGTTACTCATCGAACTCTAAGAAGGCCAGCATTCTGGCCAGACTTCAGGTAACGGTACAGTCACAGTTTTATTATCTTTATTATATAGATAAGCTTTAAAACAGATTTGTTACAACACAGATTAATGCATTTATTTATTTTTTAAAGTTAACTGCTTTTAAGTTAAATATAATATGAGAGCCCTATTGGATTGGACCCAAAAGTCAGTATCTGGTATCCAGCATTGGCTAACCAGATGCTTCCCATAAGCAGGTGTGAAGGCAACAGCCCTTCTTTGTTTATCAACAGCATTAAGCGCCTGCTTAACACTCATCTGTCATCCAGGCATTTGCTGCTTATTAATTAATTAACTTGTCCATAAAATTGCAATTTTCAGAAGGATAGCAGCATTGGCCTCCTGTAGGAAAAACAACAAAATGTGTGGTGCCTTAAAACTAACACATTCATTATGGCTCTAGCTTACTTTGTCAGACGCATGAAGTGAAATCTTAGTTGGCAGTTGTGTAAATAACCAAACTGTAAGGTGAAAGTTGAATGACAATGAGATGCCTTGGAAGGCAGGCTTGTGCTTGCTCACAGACAGCCCCCAAAACCTAAAACAGTTACTCAACCATCAACAAAAAGCCACATAGCAGAGATAAGGACACTAGAGCCCAACTCCCATGTCCACTGTGGCAACACTGTAGCAGGATAGAATAATGTCATCCACAACTTCAGGGGCTCATTCGCCTGCTCGTCTTCCAGTGTGATTTATTCCATTATCTGCCAATAATGTCCTTCTACATAGGACAGCCAGTTAAGTCTCTGTGCAAAAGAACAGAAATAGATAGACACAAACCTGCTAACAGAAATGGCAGTATTCATAAACCTGTAGGGGAATGCTTTAATATTTCAGGACACTCTGTAACTGACCTTAAGGTGGCCATTCTGGAATGAAGGAAGTTAAAGGATGTGGGTGGCGCTGTGGGTTAAACCACAGAGCCTAGTACTTGCCGATCAGAAGTTCAGCGGTTCGAATCCCCGTGACGGGGTGAGCTCCTGTTGCTCGGTCCCTGCTCCTGCCAACTTAGCATTTCGAAAGCACGTCAAAGTGCAAGTAGATAAATAGATACCGCTCCGGCGGGAAGGTAAACGGTGTTTCCGTGTGCTGCTCTGGTTCGCCAGAAGCAGCTTAGTCATGCTGGCCACATGACCCGGAAGCTGTACGACGGCTCCCTCGGCCTATAGAGCAAGATGAGTGCCGCAACCCCAGAGTCGGCCACGACTGGACCTAATGATCAGGGGTCCCTTTACCTTTTCCAACTTGAAACAGCTGAGTTAGAATTTATCAGCAAGTTAGATGGCATGAGTTCTAGGTTTGCCCTTGTTTGTGTGGACAAACTTTTTCAGTTTGCTGAAACGATCTCTGCCATAGATTTTAAAATAATACAGAATAACCACCTGTCTTCATTTGTTGTTTTTGTACTGTTTTCAAAACTGTTTTTAGTTTGTGTTTGTCTTGAAATGCATATGGAAGGCAATTTGTAAATTAATGAATTAAATAAAATGCAGAGAGGGCAGGATTCAACGAAGTTGTTGCGATGGGAGAACAAGGTCTGTTTGCACACTGGGGCTGCTCTCCACCACCACCCCACACCACCTAAATCTGCTTTGCAGAGCTGGGAGAACCTCCATAACAGGTTTAGGAGGCGTGTGGGAGGAAGGGCAGGAAATATTGTTGTGCAAATGGACCTTTCCCCCCATGTGCACTTAGTACTAAGTTGGATTTCACCCAAAGGATTTTTATTATGCTACACGTGTTAATTGACTTACCTCTGCCAGGGATATCTGACATCTATTATTGTTTCTTATGAATGGTTCCCTGCCCCATTATAGTTGTAATTCAATTACCTCAGCAAAGCTGAGTAAATTATTATCAATCTGCGGTTAGAAAAGTGTGCCTACATGTTTAAGCTCTTATTATCACAGTCCGTAATCTTTGTATCTCATTGCCATTCAGCTCCCACCTTACAGTTTTCATCCTCTGTATGCCTGCCAACTAAGATTTCGCTTTATGCATCTGAAATGGGCTTGAGTCCACAAAAGTATATATCACAATAAATCGTGTAGTGTTTGAGGTACCACAAGGCTTAGTTGTGTTTATTGGCTATAGTAGTTACATTTTATTGTATTGTAATATTTTATAATGTGGATTGTGTTGTGTGTATATGTTGTATGTTTACATAATGTAAACTGCTGTGAGATAATACAGAAAAAGAGCATTGCAGAAATGTTTAAATTAAAACCACTCACCACTTGAATCTAACCTAGTGGTTGTTACCACTTCTCAGTAAAACAAACTCTGTAAGTTTGTTATGTGTATAAATCAAGAAGTACAAACAATTATTTGGAGGATCAGGAATGAGCCACTATAGTAATAGTAATAATGATGATGGTGATTATAATTATTATTACTATTGCTTTTACTATTATTATACTTATTATTTATACGCCACCCATCTGGCTGGGTTTCCCATCTATGCATGACTTCCTCTTCCTTTTGCATAATGAACTTAATAGATGTTGACTGATTTGTCAAACCACATTTTGCCATGACAGCAAAACTAGCAAAGTTGTTTGAGTGACCTATCTGAACCAGGATCAGACAGTTCATGGACAGATTCATTCCAAACCATTATTTGGAGGCTAAGAAAATGTGATACTGGAATGTATTTATTTAATAAGTTAATGTAAGTTAGTGTGTACGAATGTAGTTTTAGTTACATTGGGTTGTGTACAACACTGCTGTTCTACTCACACAACATACTTCCACATGTGCAATGGAGATGACCCTTCTCTCCTCTCTTGTGAAACCCCTCCAAATCTGTTCCAGAGAGTTAGGGGACCCTCTGGAGCAGATTTTGTGGGCATGCAGGGAGAAAGAGGATGTCCTGTTAAATAAGGGAGACACTGCTCATGCAGCATTACCTTCTTTACATCTTCCTTTCAAACAGCTGCATTGATATCACTGTGCATATATGTCGGAGAACACTTTTAACTACAAGCTTCAGATACACAGATGAGATTGGACTGAAGAATGCTAATCTCTAGTGCCCCCTCCACTCCATTACGTAATGGGTGTAAAAGTTGCTTTAAAGCTCGGTAGTCCAAATACTTTCAATTGGCTTCTGCAAAAGCTGGTGTAAGAATAATAATAAAATTTTATTTAAAAATTCCATCATGTTTGCAATGTGCAGTTTTGCTAATGTATAATGCTAGCCTTGAAGGAAAGATTGTACAATGGATTTAACTGCCGAGAGCTATTTGCACCTGCGGTGTTAGATATCCTTCTAACAGCAGAATACTAATGCATTTTCATCTGAGAGCGCTTGTTAAGCTTGAAAGATCATGACTAATTCCATTGCTCTCTCCAAATCCTAGTTCAAGAGTTTTGAATAATTAGGATTCGGCGTTACTTGTAATGTTAGAATGCAGTGATCAGAAACACGATTTTTATATATTAAGCTTATAAGCTACACCCCCCCCCATTTTTGCTTGTGTTTCCTTTGAGACATCAAAAATTAAAGAAGATATCATGCCTTGATAGGTTTTGGTAGCATCTGTTAGTTTGTACAGCCCTTCACTGAAACAAAATATATTTTTGTCTGCGTTTTGTGCTTGGATTGCACATCAGTTTTGTAGCATATGGAATGCATGCTACACCTTTCCTATTTTTGTCGGTGCACAAATGCCACTTGGTTATAGTAACATTCAGTATTTAAAGAAAATTCAAATTAATGTTAAAATAGCAGCAGGCTAGGCGGTCTTTTGAATGGGATTTACCCAGCCCAGAAACTAAAAAAAAAAAAAAAGCTTTCTGATGAATTCTGTTTCTGAAACTGCAGTGTTACATTTTGTGCAGCAGATTTCCAGAAAGCCTGCTTCTAAAACGTCTTGATGTGAGTTTGAAAAGAACCTTATTCAGCTCTTGTTGTTTTAGGGAAAACCTCCAACAAAGAAGGCTAAAGTGCTACAAAAACAACCTTTAGTTGCTAAATTAGCTGCATATGCCCAATACCAAGCAACGGTACAGAACCAATCAAAGACGAAAACAGGTAACGTGGAGAAGTCTCTGAGGAATTATTACTGGGTTAACATTCAGTTTTTCAGCTTTGGGGAATAATTTTGAGAATAATTGTAAGGTGTTTCTAACCACATATTTCAGCAATTTCCAAGTGAATAAGAGGAATAAAGTTTGCTAGTATTGTGGGGTGGGGTCTTTCATCTGAAGCTGAAGGGCATTGGTTGTTGGGGTGAACCTGTGAAACATTCTGAGGGGCTTGGCTCATGTGCCTTGCTTTCTACCCTTTCAGCTGTATTGGCATTTTCAACAGAACACATTGGCTGCTCTAGGGGTAGATAGATTTATTTCCCATACTGCTATATCCATTTGACTGGACATAATAACTAACTGTCATATGAATCCTGATGGCATCAGTGCATGGGTTAGAATTGGTTTTTTGTTTTTGCTTCTGGCCTACATTAATTAGTTCCAGTCTAATCTATATTCTTTTGTAAAAACAAGTTAATTTTCTAGAGGATTTTCTTTGGATAATCCACCATATTCACCTTGTGGTTATGCTTACAACTGTGCATTTCTGTTTCCTCCCCCACCCTAAAAGAGACTGGAAATGAATTTATATGTATTAAAAATATATTTAGTAAATTATGTACCCATTGCTAAATAAAGTAACTCTTTCTAGCATCTGTTCCAGTGGAAGGCTTCAGTTGGGGCAACTACATCAATAGCAATAGTTTCACTGCCGCTCCTGTTAATTGTTTTAAGCATGTAAGTATGTTGCCTTTGATTTTATTATTTTTAGTAAATAGCTATGAAATAATTGCAACAGAGAATTTACAAACACCCTGGTGAGAGTAGACTTCCCCTTCCTCCTACAGCTCCCTCTTCACTCCCCCAAATCTGCTTCTGAGAGCCCACCATTAAAGCAAATTTTGGGGGTATGTGAGGGGCTGCAGTTGGTGGGGAGTGAGAAAGTGTTGCTGGCAGACTAGCACAACTAGATTTTATCCTATGGCTTTTCCCCCAATCCTTAGGCATATATGAAATTTTACTGATCTAACAACTGCAATCTTGGGAGCTTCCGTTTCAAAGATGCATGATGCTATCCAGTTTAAATGCTAGCTGTCAAAGCTGTGTGCAAAGTTTCAAAGCAAGTTTTGGATGTGGTTCTTGCCTTTGTGCATAGAGCCGATTTACATACTAAGAAACTGTCTTGAAATCCTGTGGACCTTGAGAAGCAGCCCAGTTAATTGAAACCAAGTTAGTCTATTGGTTTGTCAGGCTCGGGTGGGGACCTCAGCCCAGCCCAATCAAACAAAGTCCTTTGAAACTGCCTGCAGATCTTCTGTGAACAAAACAGAGCTCTGCACTGTCTCTCCTTAGAAGCAGCTGGAATTCAAAACAAGCGTGTTTTTCAGGTTAGTTTCACAAGAAGGAACATGTTGTAATATGCCACTCTGTCAGTAGTAAGGTGCATTGTATACAAGGCTACATAATAACGATAAGGTTGTTCCTTTTCTATAACAGAGGTCAAGATCAATAAATTGCTTTATTAGCAAATAGGCAGGCACATCCACAGCAAGGTTGTTTTAGGAATGGGTTCAAGTGATGCTTGTAAAACAAGACTGGTTTGGCTTCTGAGTGTGCTCTTGCCAGTAGAAGAAGAACCGATTTTTACCCATTCCTCTCCCCTCTATTGCACTGGAGGGGAAATGGGCATAAATTTGTGGCCTTTCTCCCGCCCTTCTGCTGGATGGGAAGTTTTCTGTGAATGGAGAGATAACTTCAGTTCATGGAAGTCAAACTTTCAATCCAAGCCCCTCTTCTCTAAAGTGCCAATTGTGATGAGTTCAATATTTCCTTTGTGCTGCATGTAGGGCCAATTTAATCATTAAAATGGTGGGCTGTAATCAGGATTAGGAATATCACTTTGTCCTGTGTTTTTATTGTTCTTAATATTCATAATTTTAAAAGACAAATTCTACTGCCATCCTCATCCCTTTCCATGATCCCATTCTCTCAGCACATTGTAGCTGCTAGATCAGAGGAAGCAAATGTGATAACAGTAATTCAGACTGGGTTCCTTCAATCCCTTTTATGAATGACGCATGACCAAAATGAGGCAGGTGCTTAATCTTTTTTGCCTTGTAGTAGTTTACTGTTGCCACCTGCTTGTTTAACTCGTTGGTGGTGCAAGTCATGCACTGTCAATGACTTTAGACATGTTGGGAGAGAAGAGGCCAAAATCAGCAAGCACCAAGGGTGTGGCTGCAGCAGAAAGACAAATGATTTGTATCAGCAAGCAGAGATTGTTTCCTTCAACCAAATAAACCTGTGTAGCATGTGAGAGAGGAAGGATAGCTGCCTTCTTGATGGTCTGGTTATCCCTGACAGACTGGTTTGCTTTAAAAAAAAAAAAAGTTGAAGCAATTTAAATTTATATATGTTTCTGGGGATTGTGGAATTGTTTTTAAGGTTGCAATCCTACACATGCTTTATTAGGAGTAAGGCCCATTAAACACAGTGGGAATATCTTTTGAGTACAGAATTAAGTTGAAGGTCTTATATAAATAAATTAAGACTATGAGTTTTCAGAACAGAACTTCGTCTTTATTAAACCACTAATTTTCAGACTCGATTTGTATCATGTGCAAGATACAGAAAAGCTAGTGAGATACCTTGGGTGAGCAGTCATATTCTTGGAAAAGAATTCCTTTTGATTAACCCCCCCCCCACACACACACATTACACTTGCCCCTGTATTTTGGAGGGACAAGTGTCACTGGGGGATGTTGCCTGGAATAGTGACTTCAGGTCTCAAATGTCTTAAGGGGGCACTGATTGTACATTATATTTGTATCCCAGGTTTCAGTTCAAAAGTAACTTTCAAAGCAACTATCACTGAAACATACAATAAAATCCAACAAACAACAATTAATGAAACAATCAGTTACTCTAACAGCAGAAGTATGGTTTAAATTGTATGCATTAAAATATCTGGAAAATAAATTCAGTTTCACATGGTCCCTAACATAGCAGGCACCAGATGATTGTCCCTGCAGAGAACATTCTGCTGTTGGACACCCCCAGCAAGAAGTCTGGTATGTTTAGCCAGTAGAGAAGAAGTGGAGGGAAGCACAATGGCACTTTTCAAATATGTGGAAAAACGTGTCACATAGAAGAGGGCAAAGATCTGTCCTGTGCTCCTCAGAGGGCAGAAGTAGATCTAATGAGCATAGATTACAGGAGGGTAGATTTCACTGAGCATTGTGAAAAACCTCTTGACAGTAAGAACAGTTTGAGGATGGAACCAGTTACTTAGTTGGGGTGGGTGAATGGGCAAGCTGTCACCGGAGAGCTTAACATAGAGGCTGGACAGCCATCTCTTGGGTTTGCTGTAGCTCTGGCATACAAGCCCCCTCCAGTTCTGATTTTATGATAGTTCTACTGCATCTCCTCCGTTGGGTGATAACTGAGGGCTTGGGGGGTGTCCTTTCTCCTTCCTCTTAAAGAGCAGCAGAAGAGTGAAGTATGAGCTTTACCTAGCCAAGAATACATGGGTCAGCTCTGTGGCAGTGAAGGTGCAAGGGTGAACAAAGTGCTCTTTGGTGCTTGCCTGCTACTTGCACTTAGGCACGTTGCTGAGTCACAGACTTTGTAGCTGCTTTTTCACCAGCGTTTTGCTTTGGCTGGATGTCAATCTGCTCTGCATGCAGAGTGTCCCAGGTTCAATCTTCTGCATCTCCAGAAGAAGCTGGGAGAGACCTTTGCCTGAAATCCTGGATGAGGCCAGTCATTGTAAACAGTACTGAGGTAGATGGACCAATTGTCTGCCATGCGTAAGGCAGCCTCTGTGTTTCTATATTTGAGCATGTTCTGGTGTACGGTGTAGTATTATAGAAATAACGGTGATTCATGAGGAAGGAGACCACAATTAGATGTTGTATGTTCTCTTAATTCTTTCATTTCAGCCTAGCATAGGCAGATGACAATACGTGTCTCAGAATTTCATCCTGAATTCCTTGCTTTATATGGTGAGCAACACAGTGATGAGGATTGTGTTCTGCTGCTCATACTTTCAATAACTATCAACAACATAAAAGTACAGGAGGTTTTTTGGGGGGACAGGGATATATCTAATGAAGCTAAATGACTCACAAATGAATTATGCAAGACCAAGTATGCATTTGGAACCTAATTTTAAGGTATTTCCTAAATTGAGGTAGGGAGCTAGATCCAGTCAATTGGCCGGATCTTGCATTGCTACACCCTTGGGCCATTTTGGTGGGTGGGGCCCTCCCACCTGACTGTCATCTGACTTCACTATGATGTTAGGTGACCCATTTTTCCTTTGTAGTGTGGCAACTGGGCTACATAGAAATTCTAAGCCAAGTGGGGGTTGAAGTTGCCCCCAGTAAGCTGATAGTAGCTGACTCCAGGCTCCATTTTTGGGTGGAATCAGCTGTGTTAACTCAGTAGCACAGCATATTTGAGCTGGTTTACTTTTGGTGATGGTTAGCTGATTGGTTGTGCACTGGCGAGGGAGCCTACCTATCACCATCAGGAGTGCCTTTAAAATTTCCCAGTTGTGCACTGGCAGTATGCCTTTACCTGCCCCTCATCTGATGCAGCATTTGTGGGGCTGTGGTTTGGGGGAAATGGCCTTGCAGACCAAATTGGGACTCCTACCAGACGTAATTAGATCTATGGGCTGGAGGTTCCCCATACCTACCCTAAATGGACGTGCCTATTAAAACAGAACTATGTAGGCAGCACAGACCATTGCAACAAACTGTTCTGATAGCATTTCACGCACAATCTGCTATTGATTGTGCATGTTTTTAATCTTAGTTTCCATGCCTAAAGTCATCTTTACATATATTCTGTTTCAAAATCTACCTCCAAGAGCGTGCACACTTGCAAACTTGCAAATCGGCATTCAAAACCATCTCTAGCAGCTATATGTTCAGTGTGGTGTAGTGGTTAAGAGCGGTGGACTCGTAATCTGGTGAACTGGGTTCGATTCCCCGCTCCTCTACATGCAGCTGCTGGGTGACCTTGGGCCAGTCACACTTCCCTGAAGTCTCTCAGCCTCACTCACCTCACAGAGTATTTGTTGTGGGGGAGGAAGGGAAAGGAGATTGTTAGCCGTTTTGAGACTCCTTAGGGTAGTGATAAAGCGGGATATCAAATCCAAACTCTTCTTCTTCTTCTTCTTGATGTTGAGGAGGAAATGAGCTTCGTTACTTTTAATTCATTCCACTGTGCCCATATAAACAGGTATAGGGATTGCAGATGACTCTACGTAGCAACATATAGTACATTAAATAGGCTGCTTTGTAATTAGCATTCAGATGTTCCACAAAGGAGCGCAAATGCTTCCTCTTATTTATGTCCTAATTGCTGCTAGTGCAAACAAATGGTCGATTTGTTCCAAGGAAGTTGTAAAGTCTTATCTGGAGCTTTCCCTAGGCTTAACTTCATTATGGGGTTGCATGATTTCTACAAAACACACCAAATTCCATCAGTAATATTACTAAAAGCTTTGCATCTCAAACATTTTGCCCCACCGCCCTTCTGGAAGAGGGGAGGGTGTCCTATGGAAAGTATATATATTTTTGTTGCACAAGTCCAGTTTTTAAAGCGAATGTGCATTGGATGGATATGGAATCGTTAAATGCAACAGATCAGGGTCACTGTGCAGAACCAGCAAGAATCTTCATCACTTTTTGCTCACCATGCAGACCTGGCCATATGTGCTAGAACTGGGATTGGAAACTTGTGGTCCTGCGGATGTTACCAGACTCCCAACGCCCATGGCCAACAATCAGGGATGATGGGAGTCATTGTCCAGACACAGGTTCTTTATCCCCCTGTACTGGTAATAGTAAAACAGACAAACATGACAGCTACTAGCATTGTTCTCTGCCTCAGATAGTGGATGGTCTTAAACCTAAGCACACCTGGGAGTAAGTACCATTGAACTCAGTAGAAACTGTTTATTTAGTGCATTGTAACCTGGTTTTCAGATGCAATTTATTTATAAACTGTATGTAATTACATGAGGAATATTTCCCCCCTTTTCACTAGATGGCACTGATGCATTATCGGCTTACTAGCACTCCTCCCCCTTTTTAAAATGCAGATATTATTCTCAATCCGGAGAGATGTGTGAGGTCTGCATGTGCAGTGGGGCTTTTTCTGTCTGATTCCATGCAGCAGCTTTGTCTGAAGCAAGCAGTTATTTAAATTTATGCTAGTTTTTTTTAAAAAAACACACCAAACGAACAGCAGCTCATTTATTGTGGGGTGGGAGAGCCTGCTCTTGGGTGGGGGAGCTTTGTGCTTGCACCCACATGAAGGGAACTCTGGATTGTGGCCACTGCACATGCAACAGATATATCAGGTGCACCTGGAAAACAAAAATCTTGCACTATGGTTCTAAAGCCCCAGAGGCCTTAAATATTTCTGCCTGGTGTTTTTAGTGCATTTGAGAAAAGCCAGTAGTAATACTTAGGTATCCCAGGCAGAGAAGTTATAGGGTCAGCCTTTTTTTTTTGGGTTGGGAAGCCCACTTACATGAACCTGGACCTTGCCCATCAAGACCTTCCTGATTGCAACTTACCTTGCAGGGAAGGCGGCTGTCCCTCCCAGATAATTCCTCCAGAGTGTGCGCTGGATCAGAGTGGTGGCCCAGGCAGACCTTCCTTTTATTGGGAAGGAGCCCAAGATGGATGCCTTCATCATGAGTTCGGAAGGTAAACTTGTTCTTATCTGTATGCTTATGGTTCTGCTAGTATTGCGCAAGAGAAGACAGTATGCTGGATATACACAGTGTACCATCGTTTCAAGGCCACGAGACCCAAACCCATGATGGCTTTCTTTGGAAGCGACAGCCATATGGATTGGTGTAGGAGGAACTAGCAGAACCGCGATCTTCACAGACAAGGACAAGTTTAACTTTCTGCTATACCCCTATACCAATCCGAAACTTTGAAACCCATTGCATTCAATTGTGTTTCAATCGAACGGAGTTTTTGACGAGCACGTGTGACTCACAGGGATGTATGGCCCCAGTCTCTTTCTCTCCATATGGCCTACCTCACAGGGTTGTTGTTAGATTAAATACTAGAAAAGAATCACTGCTGTCCTCCTGGCAAAGTTCCTGTGGGTAACAGTTTGGGACAGGTTGTGTGTGGAGCTGCAGTATGAGATAGGATGGGTGCATCTGTGACTCTGGGGCGTGTGGTTCCTTATGACAATCTCTCACATGCCCACGGCTCCAAAGAGCTTGACAAGCCCTCACTGTAGCCATTGCACCACACTGTGATATTTCGTAACTAAAGGAACAGACACCACACATACCATAAGCTAGGTGACTCCCTCTGCAAGCATTGCCCTCCTGGCCACATTTTAGCTTCAGTCATGCCCAGCAATATTTTTTCCAGTACTTTACTTAATGGAGAGGGGAAACCACAATAACTTTTGAATCACAGATTAGAACTTGACCACTTAAATGGTCTACTTCACAAAAAGGCCAAACAAAGTATATCAGTACTTTTCACCAAATTTGAAAGAAATATGTGATTTCTTTATAAATAGGAAAGAGGTCAAATTTTTAAACTTGTTGGATCTGTGATAATTTTTATTGGATTGTTCTTTTTTTTGGGGGGGATACTTTCATACACCTCATCAGGTAGACCATGTGTATGCAAAATTTCAAATTCACCACTTCTTATTAGCTATAGCCTGTTGAGACTTATCATGATGGAACTTGATTAACTGTAGAACTGCCCTGCTTCTATCATCAGCATTCCCACCCAACAATAATACTCAGCCTAAATCTGTTTTCTGAACCTTGACAGCACCTGGACATAAAGAGCTGCTGAAACCTCCTCCTCTTCCTCCTCCTCAAGAGATGATCTAGTAAAGACCAGAATTCATTCAAAATCAGAATGTTCCTGTTCACAACTAGATCAGTTTCATTCTGGAGATGATACATTGCTGAAGATACATTCATGTTACTACTTCTGTATAGTTTTCATTTGATTGTCAGTCCGCTATTTTAACTAGTCAGGATTTTCCAACCCAGTCCTCAACATGTTTACTCAGATGTTCCACTGAATTAAACGGGCCTTACTACTAGTAAGTATTGAGGGCTGCTGCTTTAGGTCATAATGCCTCCAGATTTGTCACTCTCAGACTTCTATGTATAGCTTCCAAGTTGACGGCACAAATATTTAATGTGGCATGTATCTTTTCTGCTAAAGCACTCCTTACTCCCTAAGAGTTTAAATAGACATGTTTTCAGTTAGCATTCCCCTCATATGTAAACTATTTATCTTGCCAGAAAAGTAAGCTTAGTTGCCCTGGAATCACTTGCTGACACATCTGTGTAAGGAGACTGACTTATTTCTTGTAGCTTCTCAAGTATACTTGAGAAGGAACTTGAGTATTTCCACAGCTGGATTAACTGCTTACTTTTCTAGCATGTAACTCTCTTTTAAAGTTATTCTTGCAGTAGCCCGTTTTAAAATATTAATCAGCAAATCTTCAAAGGTATTTCATCAGTTCTTCATTAAGTTAATTCATTATAGCAAACTCTGCTCATTTCCTATTTAGTCCAATATATCGTCCCATTCCTGTGTTGCACATTCTGTTGTTGTTCCTGAAGTAGTTAAAATCTGCAGAAAGTTCATATTCCAGGTTCACCCACAAATGAAGTCATTTTCTCTTTTTTAAAAAAAAGAATTGCAACTAATTTCCACACATTGACCATTGCTAAAAAGGGAAGCTACACAAATCATTTTCTTCACACGATACTTTAAGGAAGTGATGCTACAACGAGTCATTAATGCAACAAAGGACTTCAAGGATAATTCAGATTTTTTAACTATGAGGTTAATGAAAAATAAAATTACCGTAAACCTTCACTGGTTGTGGCAGGTGAGAGAGGGAGGGATTCACTGTCATCAACAAAGGTAAGCCATGCATTAACCAGTTTTACAAGCAGTAACCAGATAGCTTCCCCCGGAAAGAAAAGCCAGAGAGCTTGGCTAGTATTAATAGGTGGAAATAAGTGTTTTTATGAATTAAATGGTTTCTAACTTATTTTCCTAACATTGCAGGCACCTATGGGGACTTGCTGGGGTGACATCTCAGAAGGTGTACGTGTAGAAGTCCCTAACACAGACTGCAGCCTACCTACCAAAGTCTTCTGGATTGCTGGGATTGTAAAATTAGCAGGTTATTAACTTTGCATAAAATAATGCATTTTAAATTGTAACTGTCTCAATAAATAATTCAGGGATTTGAGCAGGTGTATATATTATTTAAAACAAAATGCATAGCAGAATGGATAAGTCTTCTGTGTTGAATGGCCTGATACTTAAGGTTGCCATAGTGGGGCAAGTTCCTATTAAGTCAACAGTGGTTTTCCAAGCAGATCTGTTTGAAATCCTGCCTATAAGGGATGATTCTGCGGAATTTAAAAGACTGTCATATTCAGATCTTGAATGCTACAGACACTGTTAATTGTAGGCTTTGTTGTCATTCTTCAGGGGGTGATAAGGAGTAATTGTAATTTTTGTATTATTAGAGCTACAATTTATGTTTTCAACTTTAGGGGTTGAAAAACTTTTCAGTAGTTTCCGATTCCTGATAAGTCTCTTGCTTGTGATTTTGAGCTAAGACTCATAATTTCCCTGCAGACTTCATTATGTGAAATTCCCTTTATGATCAACACACTGCTGTCCTCCAAGCAAAGCACTCTAGGTGTTTGAAAACAAGGTTATACACTCATGGCTTGTGGCTCTTTCTTTCTCTGTGACCTTTGAATGTTTGCATTGAGATAGCAGTTAAAGCACCAGCATAGGTCAGGCAAATTAATCAAGCTGAATTTGCCAACAGGCTCCCAACACATAGTTTGAGAAGCCTCATGTAAAACAAATTGCCTTAAAATCCAGGGAAAAAATATATTTCAGGGCCATGTCTTCTAACAGTATACTGTGCAGGGGTTGCCAACCTTTTTGAGCCTGTGAGCTCATTTACAAACTGGAGAAATGGTTGTGGGCACTGCATGTACGCAATAATAGGCGCCAACTCCTAGGGGCCCAAGCAATTTTGGCCCTCAAATATTTTTTTTGAGGTGGCCGGGCCCCCTCAATATTCAGAGGACGTCACACAATGTCCCTCCAATACTTTGGAGAAGCTGGTGCCTCTGCACTCACGGCAACCTATTATATTGGCTACAATAAATTGCTTCATTCAAGCTTAATTTCTGTGGATGAAGAGACCTACGAGGACCCTGCTGGTGACCCCTAGTATAGTACAGTTGTACCTTGGAAGTTGAACGTAATCCTTTCCGGAAGTCTGTTCGACTTCCAAAACGTTTGGAAACGAAAGCACGGCTTCTGCAGCCTGCAGCCCCGTCGGATGTTCAGCTTTCAAAAATAGTTCACAAACCGGAACAGTCGCTTCTGGATTTGCGGCGTTTGGGAACCAAAACGTTTGAGAACTAAGCTGTTTGAAAACCAAGGTACGACTGTAACATCAATGTAGGAACTTCCCCTATTGACGAAGTACATTAATCTCCTGCACACCTACCCCAACCTCTACTGTGGTGCCTCCCTTCTTTCACAGCTCTAGTATAGGCAGTGGCAGCTGAAGACCACTTCCAACATCAGCTCGCTTCCTCTGGAAGCTGTTCCAAATGAAGGGGAGTGCGTGTTTGATTGTGGTGCATTTCTTCCTTAAGAGTAGCATGGATCAGCATGAGATTTCCTTCTCTTTCAGGTTACAGTGCTTTACTAAGATATGAAGGCTTTGAAAGCGATTCAAGTCTCGACTTCTGGTGTAACATCTGTGGTCTTGATATCCATCCGGTTGGTTGGTGTGCAACAAGTGGGAAGCCTCTAGTGCCGCCTCGATGTACGTAAATCTGACTTTTAACAGGCTGACCTTTTAGCTGAATTTATCTTATGCTCTCTGTACTGATCCTTTAACTTACATTACATACTCTCTTATGTTAAGTGTAAGTCTGATATCACAACATCTGTATATCTCTCTCTGTATTTATCATATGAATGGATGTGCTTCCGTCTAACTCACGTTGTTGTCAAAATAGCTAAAAGTACTTCACGATGATAACGTATCTGGATTTCCAGTAAATTCTGAAGACAATAACTTTTTGACATTGTTCATTCAGTGTCTTGCAGTACAAATTTTCAAAAATGGTTAATGTCTGTTTGTTTTTCTGAATCTTGACAGCCATTCAACACAAATACACAAACTGGAAAGCTTTTCTGGTGAAACGACTCACTGGTGCCAAAACTCTTCCTCCTGACTTCTCTCAGAAGGTGAGGCTGGTTTCAAAGAAGACCCTTGTCAGCCTTTTTGGCTTATTTATTATAGTACTTACAAAATGCTTTTGAGCATGAATACTCTAAAAACTGTTACATTAAAAAAGTTAAACAGTAAAATGCAATATGAAAATCAGAATTGGAGCAGAAAGCAAAAGCTGGCAGCAACAACAAAAAAAGCAGCAACAGTTGGACCAGAAACAAAAGTTTCCAAAGCCTAAGTTATGAGACCATCACAGGAAAAGCTCTTTTCCTAGTTGGCAGGCTAAAGTCTGAAAGTGATGGTACCTGTCTTTGTTGACTGATCATAAAACTGGGTGTGGAAAGGGGAACAAAACAGGGGAAAGCACTCCCTGCGATACTTGTGGGCAATAGCAGATTCACATAGCCATTGTTGAAGATGGGTATTTGCAGAGGCACATATGTTAACGCTGCACAATTATATATTTTCAGGTGTCAGAAAGCATGCAGTATCCCTTTAAGCCTTCTATGAGAGTAGAAGTTGTTGATAAAACTCATCTCTGCCGAACACGGGTAGCAATTGTAGACAGCGTAATTGGAGGCAGGTTAAGATTGGTATATGAAGAAAGTGAAGACAAAACAGATGACTTCTGGTGCCATATGTACAGCCCACTCATACATCCCATTGGTTGGTCTCGGAGTATAGGACATCGGTTCAAAAGATCTGGTAAGCTCCTCTTGTGCAGAGTTTCCCACAAACAAATTAATATATCACATTGATGTTCACGTCAGCTTTCAAGATATGAGAGTCGGACAGAGAAAGATGCTTTGAGGTTTGCTTGCTTTTTAAGCCATCAAGCCGTATACATTTTATGGAATAAAAGTATTTTTTTAAAATGCTTTATTTGGTTTTGGTAGGCGTTTGTATTTTTAAAAGGTCACATGTTTGAAGTAGTAAATTAGAAATCTTCATCTATGTTTTTCCCCCTTTTTCACAGATATTGCCAAGAAGCAGGACTCTTATTTTGATGCACCCCCACATTTATTTGCTAAGGTATGATGTTTTGCAAGGAACTTGATTTATAATGGAAGGAATTGTTCATCAGCATTGAAGCTGGAGAAGCAAATAGACTGTGATGCTGACCTGTGTTGCTTCCATTTGTTGCCTCAAAATGTTTCTTTAGGTAAAGGAAGCCGAGTCAAGTGGAGAATGGTTCAAGGAGGGGATGAAATTGGAAGCCATAGATCCATTAAACCTTTCTGCAATATGCGTGGCAACAATTAGAAAGGTAAATATATTAGTTTAATTTTGCTTGTAATTTCCGTTGCTATTGCTCTTAAGTGAATTTTCATTTTGTGTATTTATGTATTTTATTGTGTATTGCACTTCAATATATAATTAGTTGTTTTGTGATTTTAAACTATTGCAAGGGGGCGGGGAATTATATTAAACAAACAAATCATGTGGTCTGCCTCTGCTCCCTTAACTCATGTTTTTAAGGGATCAGGAGCGTTACATAGGTACTGGTTGTAACCAGCATAGTGTTGTACAAAAAATTCAGGAACCATATGGACAATATTGTTGTTTGCCTTAAAACAGGGTTGCCAAATCAACCAGTAGCTGAATTTCTTTGAAAACTTTTGCTCTTCACTTCCTGGTATTTCCCCACCTTTAAATGACTTTAACTTCTAAATCTTAACTGCTGTTTGTTTGTTTTTTGTTTATCTAGGTATTAGCAGATGGATATCTTATGATTGGGATCGATGGCTCTGAGGCAGCAGATGGGTCTGACTGGTTTTGTTACCATGCCACCTCCCCTTCTATATTCCCCGTTGGTTTCTGTGAAATTAACATGATTGAACTAACTCCACCCCGAGGTATTCATACCTTCTTGTGCATAAATCTATACATGTCTTGCAAGCCATGTTATGTGAAATAATTCATTTCTTTTTCCTTAAGCTTGTTTGCAAAAATCATATCCTTCACATCTCTCTTCAAACTCTAGTTTGGAGTTGCCGAACCAATCGTCGTTTAGCAGACAAGTGTTTCATTATTGCTTGCTTAACTATCCTTTGGCTGGCTGGGAATGTTGCAACTCTCTTTTTCTGACTTGGTTCTCCCGTTTGCTTTTTAGTCAGTGCAGAGTAAAGGAGTATAAGAATTGCCACTGCTGTGGCTTGCTGAAGTGGTGTAGATGGGACAAGCAGCTAGGCTAGGTGCATTACGGCTTAATGCCACCTCTTCATTAGTTATGATATCCTCAAAGTAAGTGGCACTCTTCTCATCTAGGCCAGACTGGCCTAGTAACAGCATATACTCTGCCTAGTTTGATCAATTACTTCCTGTGATTTCCCCCCTAAAATCTGGGCTCAAGGTCATCCGGTGAATCTGGTTGGCAGGAGATTCAGGATAGGCAAAAGGAAGTACATTTTCGCATGACAATGTGTGAAATTCTCTGCCTGATATGTGAAAGCTACTATCTTAGATAGCTAAGGGAATTGGATAAATTCATGCAGGGTAAAACTGTCAGTGGGTATCAAGGGTTTTTTGCTTTTTTTTTGCATTAAGGTTAGTGGGGTGGCCTCTTATTCAGAGCTCTGTCTGTACATTTGTGGTCCTTTATTGCACTCTGGCACTTCTGCTGAGGGAAGGGCCATGATTGAGTGAGAGATGGCATGTTTTGCACGCAGAGGCTCTAGGGCTGGGTTCCAATGTTCTTCACCCCCAGTAAGTGTTCCAACTAGTGTTGTGATCTGCCAACATCTGGAGGGCCCTCAGTTGAGTCCCTAGCATCAGCAGTGAAAGGGATCTCTGATAAGGTAAAAGAGACCTCTGTCTGATACCTTGGAGAGCTTTTGCCAAAGTAGACTATGCAGGGCTAGATGGACTGAGGATCCCACTTGGGAGGAGTAACTTCATAGTTTATTCTAAGAAATGTATACCCTGTCCTTCCATGGTTATCAAACTGCTTGGGGCAGATTGTGTGTGTGTGTGTGTGTGTGTGTGTCTGTGTCTGTGTGTCGGTGTGTCTGTGTACGGATCAGGGCAAATGTTTTTGTGATGCTACTACATAACTGTTAATCCCTTGTAGGTTATGCAAAACTACCTTTCAAATGGTTTGACTACCTCAGGGAAACGGGTTCAGTAGCAGCCCCTGTGAAGTTCTTTAACAAGGTAAGACCAAAATATTTCACAATTGTAGTGTACCTACAATTTGTGGTGCTCATTCCTTTGTCGGCAGCCCCATAGAATCTAGAAAATGTCTTCACATGTAGCTGTTATAGAAAAGCATCTTAACTATAAATAGAATAGAGTACTGGCAGATAAGTACTTTCAGTAGATTCACCCTGTGGATTTAAGACTAATGAAATGCAATGGTGGTTGAAGAAGGAAAAGAGTTATCCCAGTATTGCAATATTGGCATTTGAATCCTATATGAACACCTTTAGTTGGAACAGGAATATCATAGCTGGGATGTAGTGAATGCACCCATTTCTTTGCCTCTCTTCCTTGAGGATATGCAACACTGAAAAACTCGGATATTTTATGTCATGTATACAAGTCTTGTTTTACATGACCATACCAAATTAAATTATTTTTTTAAAGAAAAGCTTATTAAATAATTGGTTCCATTCTGAAGCCCACACTTCAGTTTCCAAAAACTGAATATATTAGAGATTCAATTATCAAAAACCTTTATGTTTAACATGTTACATTAAGGGCTTTCCATTTTCACTTCTGCACCAAAGTGCTAGGAAACTACAACTGTTGAAAGGGCCACACCCTCAACAGATATATCATTTAGGCAATATTGATATGGTATCCTATCCTGTGGTTAGTTCCAGCTTTACCACTACCTTGGGGCTGGATGGCTGTCAGTGGTGAAGTGGTGGACCTAAGTATGTACCAGATTTTTCTGTTCACTGAAATACATACCTGGAGCCTATTTAACTAAAGCTTCCATTCCACCTTAAAAGTACCAACTGACAGCTAAAGTAAAGCATGACCAGGTAACTTGACTTGGGATCTCACGAACCCAGTATTTATAGCCAAAGTGAACTAAAGGTGACGGTAGAAAGCTCTAGGAGATCCCATGTGTTGTGCTGGATCATCTGTTACTACATACCTTGGTAGAATGAGAGTGCTCACAAGTCTAAGGAAATGTACCAGGAGAGAGAAAGGTTCCGTTATGGGAGAGGTGACTGTGAACATGTTTTAATCACAAAACTTTGCTTTTCAAAGCAATATGATGTGCTTGTCTTACATCTCTGTTCCAGGAAGTTCCAAACCATGGGTTTCATGTTTCAATGAAGCTGGAGGCTGTGGACCTCATGGAACCTCGTCTAGTATGTGTGGCTACAGTAACTCGTATTATTCACCGTCTGTTGAGGATACATTTTGACGGCTGGGAAGACGAATATGATCAGTGGGTGGATTGTGAATCTCCTGACCTCTACCCTGTAGGATGGTGTCAGCTAACGGGTTACCAACTACAGCCTCCTGCGTCACAATGTAAGTTGCCCTTAATTTCTCTCTGAACTTTCTATAGCTGAAACATAGCAGACCTCTCTATGGTAAAATTTTTCATATCTTTGTTTCTATTTTTAGATTTCGATCTATTTGCTGCCAGTTTACCAGCTAGCGCAAGGGTGTAGTCTGGGCAATCGGCTTGGACTTACACAATGCCATTTGCTTAATACTCCAGAGCTCAATCCGTTTTGCTCTGTAGTCAGTAGTACTTCAGGGTGTTTGTCTTATTCTGTCCCTGTTCGCCACTGATATTTGGAAGGCAAATAAGAAAGCAAGTTGATTTTAATGCAGTATTATTGGGAATACTGTATGGTCATGTAGATTAGCAAGTAATTTTGCATTTATTACTTTAATTAACTGATTTCTTACATGCCCCTCAAGGTAGTTCACAAATACACAATAAAGAGATAAACATTGTATGTGTTTGCATTGTTACTATATTTTTATCCTATTGTTCTGACTTTTGGTTTATTTCTCTGGTTCATTGCAGTCTTTTAATGATGCCCTTACAATGATCAGTTATAGTAGAGTCATATAACAGGCTTAGCAGCTTGACTCTATTAGTTATCAGTTGTACTGAGCATATTTTAAAAGGCAGAATGGCTCTGATTGGCCCAGATGGTGTGCATTTTGTATGGTAAAATGATTTTACACGCGAAAGTATTAATCATTCCTGACTTGGGGGAATGATTCTATGTCGTTTACTACCCTGCAACACAGTTGTTAATTCACATCTGGATCATTTTGCTTCCTATCACGTTATAATCACTTTGTCAAATGCAGGATCAAGTAATGTGATTTTAAAAGAAATGAGGGGCTCTATCTAAAATTTCAAGAATATTTTGCAGTTTCAAGTGGCACAGGGCTAAAATTATTCTGAATATAGGTGCTGCTGTCCAAGAGGCTTCTGAAACACAAAGCATCTCACCTGCAGTCTTTTGCCTGCACACAAAAAGGTGTTTAAATTCACTTTCTTTTTTAAAACATACATTTCAGCATCAAGAGATGGTCAGTCAAGCTCGTCAAAGCAGAAGAAAAAGTCAAAGTCACAACAATACAAAGGACACAAGAAAAGTGGGTAACAAAAATTATTTGCTTTGACCTTCTTGCTACAAAACTGCCTTTTTCTCTCAGGAAAAATGATGGTTGCGAATGATGCTTTCTGTTGAAACGTTTTTCAAGCTTAAAGTGCATCATGGCACAAGGAAAACTTTTTAAATTGAGTATTTTTTTTGTCACGTGAAGTAAAATAAAGTGCAAATATAAGTATTTTTTTAAAGCAAACTCTGTGGTAGTTTCTACTTAATATCTTGGTTTCAGTTTTAGGTCCTTTCATAGAAAACTTTTTCTCTCCACAATGATAAGAGATTGATTAATTTTTGTTTAGGGTAGTACTGTCATCTTCACCAAGATAAGATAGATGATATATTTTATTAAGCCATGTTGTTCATAGAACTAAAAATTTGTGCTTTTTTTAGATTCACATAGAACAGGCATAGGTAAACTCGGCCCTCCAGATGTTTTGGGACTACAACTCCCATCATCCCTGACCACTGGTCCTGTTAGCTAGGGATGATGGGAGTTGTAGTCCGAAAACATCTGGAGGGCCGAATTTGCCTATGCCTGACATAGAATTAATTTCAGTCTAAAGTTAGAGAATACTGTAATCGGTTAAAATAAGTATACAGAGTAAAGTGAGGGTGAGTGTAGAAACAGAAAATAATAATTATTTTTTGAAGTGAGAGCTTAGAAAAAAACTTCAGCATAGAATGTTTTATTGCGTGTCTTGACCATTATAAGGTTAAGTTTGACATTCTTTATATTTTGCTTGATTGGTTTTCATGCTGGTATTTTCATCTGAAAGATGACAGCTTTTTGTGGCTACAGGAGCTGGCAAAATTGATCTATAAAGTTAAGACCTATGGAGGGTCTGAGACACTGGAAAGACTTCCTTGCATAGGGAAGTGTAATGAAATTGTACTATATTTTAGCCAAATTAGATTTTAATTTGAAAACTTTATTTTGGACAGGCACACATTACAGCCGAGCTGTTAAGTTTCTCTTAATGGCTCAGCCTACATGGAACTTTGAATTTTGTTCCAGGCAGTGTAGATCATTAGAATTGAAATGAAATCCATTGTACATTGTATTCCTTTGTATTTTTATTCTGAAGCAAGTCCCACAGGCCTGGTTCAGATACCTGGTTTACAGTTTGCTAAACCATGATTTTTAGGAGCTGGAAACAAGTGATGGAACCACCCCCTCCCACCTTTGACATCTTCCTTCCACCTTGCTTACACTCTGGTTTAATAAAACCATAGTTAATAGTTACGCCCAAAACAGGAAACTCTGGTTTAATGTTAATTTTACCAATAAGGATTTTAAACTCTGAAGTTGGTTTGAGATCCTTGTTGGTAAATCAGTATTAAACCACAGTTCCCCATTTTGGAAACTGCAGAGAATGTTGGTTTGATTAAACTAGGGTGCAAGTGATGAGGAAGGAACATGTGATCTCAGTGCTTGTTCCCATTGCTACACTGGATTAGTAAGCTTGGGAGTAGAACATACAAACCAGTGGATAGCCTTACCTGAGTATGTTTGGGATTGTAGCCTCAGCCAAATTCCTTCTGAAATCCCAAGTTTCCCACTTATATTAACAAACGGAGAGCATGACCAGTCCATTGTATCTGGAGCAGGTAGGAGCGTGTGTGAGTTGAATGGGGATGGGGAGAAAGGTGAATCCTGGTGCATTTGCAAACATACTGTATCTTGCCCTGTAGAACTGGCACATTCTTTAGACTGAATTCTGTTATTTTATTGGGAAATGGAATGTTTCTTCTTTTTGGATTTCCAGAAAGGCTCAAACACCGGCGGTTCGAATCCCCGCAACGGGGTGAGCTCCCGTTGCTCAATCCCTGATCCTGCCCACCTAGCAGTTCAAAAGCACATCAAAGTGCAAGTAGATAAATAGGTACCGCTCCGGTGGGAAGGTAAAGGCATTTCCATGCGCTGATCTGGTTTGCCAGAAGCGGCTTAGTCATGCTGGCCACATGACCTGTACGCCAGCTCCCTCGGCCAGTAAAGCGAGATGAGCACCGCAACCCCAGAGTCGGCCACGACTGGACCTAATGGTCAGGGGTCCCTTTACCTTACAAATATTTTAACTCTCTCTTTCCCCTTTTTCATGACAGTTAATGCTTAGTCATTAATTCCAATAATGAAGCTCCTTAGCGTTGCTTTAGAGTTAGACAAATTGTAAATTCACAGAAGGCTATAGACATTTTCAAAGTAATAAGGCTCGGACAAAACCTGTTTGCTAAAAATGAGACGCTAAAATGATGTTGGAGCTTGTTACTCCTTCTGCACCTTTCTTAGCTCAACCCTTAATTTAAAAAACTCTTCTGAGATGGAGGAACTAACAACCATGGAGACTATTGTGGAGCAAGCCACTTGTTTCATCCTCTTTGTTTGTTTTTGACTTTGCTCTATGGCGATTTTCTCCTTTGATCTGACCCCATTAAAAAAAACTAATGTGTTGGAGCCTTAGGTGAAGTTCAGCTAAAATGCTTCATTTTATGTGGCAGGACCTAACTCCTTGAATGTGTATTATTTGACAGTGAACTAAAAGGAAATTTATTAATCTGCCTCTGTTTATTATGAGATGGAAATAACTAGTCTGATTAGTCCTACTGTATATTGATTTTCTGCTCTGACTCTTCGCATTTTAAGTTGAAGAAAGCTTTATTTATTTACCATGCTTTAACTGTAGGAAGCTGTAAACCAATGCAGCTGGATTAATTCACGACAGTGCCTTCTTCTTACAAGCATTTAGTAGTCATATTTATTATATTTATATTAAAAATTATAAGCTGCTTTTTAGCCAAAGAGGCCTCAAAGCAGTGTACAACAGCTACATAATGCAATAAGCATTTTCAAAAATAAATAAATAAAAGGAATTTGCACTTTCTTCCGATGGCTGCTTAGTTCACTTGGGAATATTAGTACATACAAGGTGAGGGGTTTAGGACTTTCATGAACTTTAGTACTTTTTAACGCTGACCAAAAAACACTAGCTGTTTTAGATTGTAATGATGAGGACTTTTTGCTTATACCACCTATGTCTGAGAAGTAGACAAAATGAATTGTACTAATCTAGCAAGCATACAGTGAGAATATTTTGTATTGGAATGTCGTTACCAAGTGAGAGTACCACCTTTACAAAGCACAGCTTCCTGGAATTGGGAGAATATTCTACTCTCTGGGATACCCTCCTCACCTGGCTCAGAAGGCACATGTAGCATCTGCTAAGCTGATCCTGACTTTGATTATTAGGAGGCAGCAGCTACTACCGTTTTCTATTTTCTCCTGTTTCTCCCCTCGGCCCAAGCCCAACTCCCAAATTTAAGCCAGACAGAGGGAGCGAGAAAGCAAAGCGCTTGCCAGTCTCTGCTCATTGATGTGCCCATGGCAAGAAACTGTGCCACCTACCATCAGATAAGCACACAAGTACTTCGGCATGTATTTGGTCAGTCAGATGCTTAAAACCAGGAAGGGAGGTGAAGTGATGCTTTTAGGGCATGCTTCCTCAACCTTGGCCCTCCAGATGTTTTTGGCCTACAACTCCCATGATCCCCAGCTAGCAGGACCAGTGGCCAGGGATGATGGGAATTGTAGCCTCAAAACATCTCGAGGGCCGAGGTTGAGGGAGCCTGTTTTAGGGTTTGTGAAGGAAAAAGCAGCATTCATACCTGTCGCCCAGAGGAGTGCTTCAGGCAAGCCAGCGCTGCACATAGACTCATATGTACTGGTGGAACAAAGCGGCTTCCACTTTAAGCCTGCCAAAGAAGTTCATTCCAGGAGAAGCCAGTTCAAGGGTAGAGTGAGTATTTTCACACTTAGGTGGAGATGCCCAGATAGGGACCGAAGTGATTACCCCTCCCAAGGTTCCGAGATAGGAGGTTCTGAGAGCTCAGAGTTCCATAGCTGGAACCCAGGTAGGATAAGGTGGTCTGTGGAGATGGGTCCAGGTCATGATAGTGCTAGGGATTATGTTCCCTATCACAATTTAGTTCTTTTTAAGGTAGTAACCAGGTGAAAGGTAAATGTCCAGACTCTTAAGGCTTCAAAACATTTTCCAGACCCTCATCCTTTAAATCTTTATTCAAGCTGGGATGAGCGAGAGAGAGTACATGCCTACAGCCCCACTACACTTTAGACCACGGCTGGTGACAGCTCCTTGTGGAGAATCTGTAAGAAAACAACTGTGGGGCCGTGACCTGCACGGGGGTGTCTATATTGCTTAGATCCCCATTGTAGTCTTGGTCTGGATTTCGCTTCTCTGCATCAATGGGAGTTTCTCTCTCAGTGCAAATAGCAGCCTAATCATTCATGCACTTAATGATTGCGTGAAGAATCTCACATCCATTTTGGTGGTGTGTGTTGAGAAAATAAAGGATCTATTTGAGCAAAATGCAGAAATCTACAGAGTTCAGTAGCTAATGTAATATTCTTGTCTTTAACCTTCCATGGCAGAAGCTTGAAATACAAATTACTTTAGGTAGAACATGACAGTTCACAAAGAGCCTCAGTAACTCTAAGGTAGCTTTCCCCCCAACTTTGCAGAGGTTTTATTAGCATGAGACATACTGCAGTGAATTTAATACTAAAAGTGCTATAAAATGGAGCCCATTCTAGTAATACAACATGGAAAATAAAATACCCACCTGCCACTCTTTGGGTGGAAATAATATGTGTTCCCAGAAGGTGGGAGAGTACTTTTGACACCACCCATTTTTGGTTCTCCAAGCATTTTTGCATAAAACACTTGTTAGTCAAGGACATCACAGAATATTCAAATGCTATCATATTATTCATTTTTCTCATATTAGTGTGCTGTAGTAGCTGCTGTAAATTTTTATTTACATATCCATTCATGATCTGAGAGATGTTGTCTCTCAGAATCATTGACTGATGAGTCCTGCCTTCTGAGTCAAGTCAGAGAAGGTCACTTCCATAGAGTGAAGCTTCTTCCACCTGTTGAAGCAGGAATTCAGAGGTAAGATCTTACCACCACCTACACAGAAATTCTTCAGTAAACATAGCTTCTCGGGGTTATTTTTTGAAGTTTCAATACATTTGCCCCATGATTTTTGGGTGGCAAATCTGCATTTTTTATGGAGCAGCTCTTCAGATTGGTTTACTTATCAAGAGACAAGGGATTAGAGGTATCGTAGAAAGTAGTTTTTTGTATAGCAGAGCATGTGCTTAATTGGTGTGACTTTAATTATATATGAAAACCCTTAGTTTGCAGGTTTTACACATAAGTTAGCCTGTGATTTTAAATTTTTACTGAAGAGTAAACCGAGAGGTGAGACGAGCAATATGAAACCACCAATTTTTTCACTAACAAATTTGCTTTTAAGGGTATTTCTTCCATAAAGAGAGTATTAAATTTAAGGTGATTCCTGAAAATGTGTTGTCATAGGAGGATGTTTCATAGAGTTCTGTGGCTCTGCCATGAGTCACCAGCATCACTTTCCAAAACAATTCCTTTGGCTGTAGTTAACGAAGATCTGGGCATGCACCGAGGTGTCCATAAGTCCAGTGAGCACCAACTGGAGGCCTTTCTCAGTGAGTGATTAGTCTTGAGTTGCTTTAACACACTTTGATCTAAGTGTTTTACTTTAGTTTGACTTGATGTTTAGAGAGGAAGATACCAGTTGGGAAGAAGCCTGTCAGTTTGTCGAGCGTCCCCATGACAGGTGGGGTGCGGAGGAGCTTCTCTGGTGATGAAGAGTTGACTCCTCCTCAGTATCGAACCCTTCCAGCACAGACAGCCCCGGAGGCCTGCCAGCCTCCCAGGACTAGCAGAGAGTTCAGTCCCAGCCTCAAAACAGGTAATTGGTCATGGAAAAAAACAACAACGCTTATTAATGGAGGGCAAAATTGATTGAGGATCAAGCATGGTCAGGCATGAAACATGCTGACTCATTGCCGCCCTCACTTTTCATTTAAAAATAGAAAGAACATCCATTTCCTCCAGTATTTGCATCAGCCCATAAGCCCATCTCATTGAATTAATCACAAGTGTTGAGTCCCTGTTTTTTCCTGCTGCTTCAGAACTCAGCAAATCTCTTCAAAATGAACTAAATGGAAGTGCTTTCAATGTACATACTGAAACAAAGTGAACTAAGTGCCAATAGATTTCAGTTATCACTGGATATTATTTTATATCCTGGATGTCATATCCAAAAATAATCAATGGTCACCCTAAAAAAAGAGGGAAACTAGTTTTGGAAGATTTTAAAAACATCACCCCCCAAAATTAATAGACCTTTGTCAACAGCTTGCCATATTTTTCTTTAAGCTGAAAACAGATTTCAAAATGAGAAACACTCTCATTTATATGTTCCCAAAATAAGTCCCTGTTGTGTGTTACTATTCTGATTATCATTCTGACACAATGAACAGGAGAAAATGAGCAGAATGAAAGGGATTGAGTCACACTTGAGATCAATACAAACTGTAAGGTTGACATAGTGTGGAAATAGGTGCTTATTTAGTCTGAAGTAGACGGCTGCCTCTAAGAAAATGCAAGAGCTTATATTGTCAGTCTAATTCAGAGCTCCACTATGGAGAACTCCCCCACTTACTAGTACCTTGCTGGGCTTAATAGTGGAAAGGGTAGCACTGCATGCGCAAAGGATACTGGCAGGCTCATTAAAGTCTTGTCAATGTCCATATTTAGGTTGAAACAAAATGGTGCCCACTTGGAAAGGTTATAAAATATGCTAGGTTTCAATCCTAGAAATATAAACAAGTTGGGTCTGCTCCCCTTCCTTGTGAATTCTAACTAATGCAGAAATCTGGCTAGATTGGGAGGTTCTTTTCTGGACATAACCCAATTTGGACTCTGCCAGAATCTATTGTAGGATCTTTCCTGTTCCAGGAGGGGCTTTTCAGGCATGGCCACAGATGCATATTGTCATATACCTGTGGCATGCTTGGTGCGTTCCTTTCCATAAAGGCCACTGCAAAGGCTGCAGTTTGCTTGACATGAGTCAGTCTTTGCCTGCCAGCACCAAACAGCTGTTCTGGTATTCAGCAGGAAAGGTCCCATTTACACCATGCAGTGGGTTGCAGTGTGCACAGGGTCTCTGAACAGCGAGGAACCAAAAATCTGCAAAGCCCACTCAGTTTCACCTGCTTCTGCTGGGGTGAAGAAATTGAGGATTTGATTTATTTATCAAATTTCTCCTCACCTAGCCCTAGCTTTAACTATTCCTACTTCTTGGATAGTTGTAACTATTGGAGCACATACTTACTACAGTTGTTGGTTAGAGAAAAAAATGTTCCACATCTCACAAACGGGAATGAGGTGTCTTTCCCTGTAAGCATACTGAAGACCTATGGCATATTTAAAACAGAAAGCCAAGCGCAGCTCATTATACATCCTCATTTTTCGGTCATTACAACATCTCTATACAGATGCATTGTTCAGTGGTAACTCACCTCGCTACTTAAAAGCTGGTCTTGTTTCCTTGAGTGTTCACGCTACTAACTTTGTTTGTATTTTAAATGTTAAGAATTGTAAAACTGGTTGCATTTTTTCAGCACTGAAAACATCAAACCTTTAGGTAATTTTTGAGAGACTGGTCTCTTGGAGAACATGCAATGTCCCCAAATGAGTCCCATTTTTATACATACGTACAGTGTTAATTGATTTGACGTAGGGTCTTCAATGCACTGAATTTCCAAGGTTGCAAGGGTAGTGGGCTGGGGGGTGATTGGGAATGCTACAGGACCTCATTGAGTTTACAAAAGTTCAGAAGAAACTTGCATATATCTGCTACCTTCTTGCCTTCTGAGAACTCTCCATGTTTACCCTAACCAATAAAATATCAGAGTCCCATATATCTCCTTGTATCGTACTGTATATGTAGGAGCCAGGCCCGGCTGTGTGGCTTTTTGAGATGGCTTTTCTTTTCGCAGTATGCCCTTTTCTAATCCTTCGGATGAAATGCTTTATTTGTGCCTCTGTCTCAGGCATGTTGAAAGATCAGAAAACAGGTATTTGATGATAGGGATGAAATTAGCCTCTGTGCTTCCTTCCATCAGTTACTAAGGGTAGTGCCAGAATACCAGCTTACTTTGAACTGTAGCTGCAGAATTTCACCACTGGGATCTACATGTGAGAGGTCCATTTTCAATATGAAATAATGATGTGATGATGAAAAAGCATGCCTCCCCCTTTTTGGTGCAGCTATTAAGAGCATTGGAGCATAGATCCATAATGAATTTTGTAACCTTAAATTTAGGTCCTCTTGCCAAATAGAAATAACTAGAATGAACTGAACAAAATATTTCCTGTGGTGTAAGATGAAAATCGAGAGCATTATAATGAGCAACCAGACTTCATTATCATGCATGATATTTTCTACCTTTAATTAACTCCTGTAGCTACAGCTGAGTTATTTTCTTCATGTTCCCTGAGGAGGTGCCTTGACTCCAATTGCTACTGCACTAATAGAAAGAAAAATCTCTCTCTCCCCCCCCCTCATGCTATTGCCATTTTGTAAATCACCAGTATTTTTGTATTTAAAGCTAAGAGAAATAAAACAAGAGCTTGAAGCAAATGATGTTGTTTACTGAGCTCTTGCACAAAATAAATAGGTTGCTTGCTCTTCTGTAACTCCATCCTAGTTACTGCCTTTATTAGAAAGATGAAATAGCTATAGAATGGTAATGGGAAAATAATTGATGCCCCGATGGTAGTGACCCATGAATATAATACTCTCTGAAAAACAGAACAAACTTGTTTGATAACTGGACCATCTACATATTTGTATCAAATCATCATGAAGTTTTGAGCAGGCTTAAGTGGCTTGAGAGACCCGTTTTTCCCAGGTGGCCTAGCTTTGGGGACTCCTTTATACTCCCATAAGGTACATGTAATTGAAGAATCCCAAAGCTAAAGAATCCTAAAGGGGATTTACTGTTGGCCTTGGTCCACTGCCCAGAGAGTTATTGTACCCAAAGATTCCCAGCGTTTCAAAAGTGTTCTGCAATTGGCATGCAAGTGATTGCCCTTTTGAGACCTAAAGCCTTTGTAGACATGTTGGACATGTGGTCCTTTCTTCGGGGTCATTGTGACCCTGAAGTCCAGCTGCTCTCAGTCTTTGATTGTTATGGAATAGAATATGAGACAATTTCAGTCTGTTCCCCATTTGATCCTCCATGAAGCTCCCTCTCCTTGAGAGGTTTTTAAATCCACTCCACTTGTAGGGGTAGATACAGCAGGTGGGTTACGCCTGTACAGTCTGCCAAAATGTACGGGTGGAAAAAGAGTTCAGCAGTCTGTGATTACTAAAAGTGATGTACAAGTGTCCTAGGGATTTGGGGGGCGAGGGCAGGGAGAGAAATGAATTGAGTAAATATTTATTTTGCATGTTGTAGAATGTGTATCATTCTAAAGTCGTGTTTTAATATTTAAACTTTTTAAATTTTATTTAGCAGAGGAATGTGAGTCAGCAAGGAAGATGAGATAGAACCATACTAAGAGCGAAACCAAGTGACCTCTGTTTTAGTAAGGTTCCAAGTAGCAACAGGTTGTACTTTTGAGACTGCATTACAACATGCTCCTTTGCACTTTCCAAAGACTATTTATGTCAATGTTTGTAAAGTAAGCTGCAATATTGGATCCGAGAAAAAACAACAACAACTGAACTTGCCATCTTGTCATCAAAAGCTGCCTCTAATGGATGCTTCAGAAGAAGCATAAAAGGAAAAAAATAGCAGTTATAGTATATTCTTTTCCCACATCAGTCCCTTTTGCCAGCCAGAGCCTTGGATTATTTTTATTAATCTTTTAGTTATTTCATGAGCAGTTACTTGGCTCTTTTGGATATTGTCTTTCTTATTAAAGGCTGTATATGTCTTGTTTGCTACTTTAGTCAGTGTCAACAGTTTTTATGCAGCTATCTATGTGACTTATATCACATTTTTAACGGAAGAGACTCTCTTAAAAAAACTTGTCTGAACCATATTTGTTTCCTTTGCGTCAGATATAGCACACCTTCACCATACCATAGAATCATGGAGCTGGAAGGGACTCAAGGGCCATCTAGTTCAGCCCCCTGCTATGCAGGAATCTCGGCTAAAGCATCCATGACAGATGGCCATGTTTTGCTGGTTTGCCAGTATCAAAACAATAAGAAGCAGCACAATTAGTGCATTAAACTGTAAAATATTTATGTCAGATATCCATAGATGGTTGGCAATATGTACAGCAGTCTTTTAAATTGACTGTGCTTCCTTTGAGATCTTTTGAAAGTGTTAACTAGGGGATTGAACTTGGAACTGGATCTGCCAATGGACAAGATAATAATAATAATAATAAATTTTATTTATATCCCGCCCTCCCCAGCCGAAGCTGGGCTCAGGGCGGCTAACAACAATCAAAATAGTCCAACATTCTAAAAACATTCATTATAAAATTAATTAAATCAAATTAAAATCAAATTAATGGCAACCATCAAGCAAAATTCTGTGCAGATTGCCAGAGGAGGGGGTCAGGCTGCGCCCTGACCAAAGGCCTGGTGGAACAGCTCTGTCTTGCAGGCCCTGCGGAAGGATGTCAGGTCCTGCAGGGCCCTAGTCTCTTGTGACAGAGCGTTCCACCAGATTGGAGCCGCAGCCGAGAAAGCCCTGGCTCTAGTTGAGGCCAGCCTAACCTCTCTGTGGCCTGGGATCTTTAGGATGTTTTTATTTGCAGACCGTAAATTTCTCTGTGGGACATACCAGGAGAGGCGGTCCCGTAGGTACAAGGGTCCTAGGCCGTATAGGGCTTTAAAGGTTAAAACCAGCACCTTAAACCTGATCCTGTACTCCACCGGGAGCCATATGCCCATATGCCCCGCTCCTGTAGACCAACTTTGACTATTGAGTAGGACCACCCAGGGGTGTAACGTGGTGGTGGTGGTGGGGCTGCCAGGGTGATGGCCCCAGGCACATTTTTCCAGGGGGCACTGATCACACCGCCCTGCCAGTCCTGCAGCACTTTGCAAGGCTGGGATCTGATCTGAATGATTCACCAGGCAATTCATTCAGATCAGCTGCCAGCCTCGCAAAGCGGCACAGGGCTGGCATCACTCCACCGGCATCTGCTGTTTATAGCCACTGCTCCTGCTCCTCTTCACAGACACACAAGGACTACCTGCATGAAACTTGTGGACTACTTGATAGTCTGGGGACCACAGTTTCAGAACTCCTGAACTAATCTGTATGGGGGAGATGTAGAGTATACTCTTTATTTCTAACATGCTAGTTCAAACTTAACAACTTTAAAAAAAAAACAGTGTAGGAGGGAGTATTAAAACATATAACCCTAGCATTGGAGATGATATTATAATCTGAACAGGCCTTTATTCTGAATTTGTAGAGAGGCTTGTGTCAAAAGGCAGCTCCGATAAATTCTTCCAGTTTCTCTCTTCCACTACAGACCATTCCATACTCTTCTAGACAGAAGTGGTTGGGACAGTGTAGGGTTTGTTTTGCAGGGGGTAGCCAGAAAAGCCCCATTGTGCAAGCAGAGTTCCACTTCTTGTTCTTCGGATGCAGACTTAAGACTGTCACTTGGTAAAATCACAAAAATTAAAGAGCAATTTAACCCTTTAAGTTATTCATGTTATCCTATTGGTATAATAATTTGCATTCCATACATTTTGACCAAAACATTAACAAATTACATTACAAACCAGGTGATTATATCTCATATTCCAAAAATAATAATAATGTGAGTCTACTTTTTCATAAAAACACTTTATTTGCATCCTCAGGGAATGCATTAATTTCCTCATTATTACTTCCAATTGTAAAACTTGCAAAGCACATTCAGTGGATGCACCTTAGAATTCAAAGTGGCGGAGTAAATTGTTGTAGGGAATGTCATACGACTTCACAGAGAGGTATGAAAAATAAAAGTTTATTTTTGACAAAGTAAAGCCACCACAGTTTGGTAAGAGGCAAATTGGCATATAACGGCAAATTGCCACTAAAATGAAATCCAAAGTAATGGCAAAAAGGCAGCAAATGCTGTTTTGAATTACCGTATTTTTCACCCTATAGGACGTACTTTCCCCCCTCCAAAAATGAAGGGGAAATGTGTGTGCGTCCTATGGGACGAATGCAGGCTTTCGCTGAAGCCTGGAGAGCAAGAGGGGTCGGTTCGCACCGACCCCTCTCGCTCTCCAGGCTTCGCGCACCTCTCCGCAAGCAGCGGGAGCCCGGTGATGGGCTCCCGCTGCTTGCGGAGAGTTGCCTGCATGCTGAAGCCTGCGCGCGCTGAGCTCAGCGCGTCCAGGCTTCGCGCACCTCTCCACAAGCAGAGGGAGCCCGGCGCTGGGCTTCCCCCGCGCCTGGGGGAAAAATAATTTCCCCCCTTTATTTCTCCCCCAAAAAACTAGGTGCGCCTTATGGGACAGTGCGTCCTATAGGGCGAAAAATATGGTACTTTTTAAAGATATTACTATTAAAACTGGCATGCCCCAATTTAGCAAGGGTGATCTCCTGGTTCCAATCACTCTCCTACATGCAAAAGGGGGCTGTGCTAGGTGAAAAGCAAAGGTCCTCATGCAACTAAAACGAGTGTGGAACCTCTGACCTAGGGGTTAAATGAGGCTCTCCCTAGGCAACACCCCTAAAGGCCTTGTGCTTTTGCCTGGCTGGAGTGTACCCTACTGTACAAAGACAAAGGTCGCATCCACTGCATCGCCCAAAACTGGCATTCCACACCCCGGAGCTACACCTATGGAGATCCATGTCAGACCAGGGGTGTGTGTGTGTGTTTACCTGCCAAACAGATGATGGCAACTTCTCAGGCTGACTTCACCATCCATCTCTTTATGGAGACACGTGTGTTCCGTGTGGCGATTTGTGGGTCTGAGCCACTGTGTGCAACATCAAGGAGGCAATGCTGCTGCTTTATTCAAGGCTCTTCGTAGAAGACTAACGCTCATGCTCTGGTGATGCCGTTTTAAGAAAGGAGCAAGCAAATCTAGGAGGACTTGGATCTAGGAATCAAAATGTGAGGGATGGCTGAAGAAAGTAGAACCTAGGGGAAATGTGGGTAATACTCCTAGAAAAATACATAATAATACAGGGTGATTCATCATGAAGTCTACAGTTCCCATTCACTATAAATGGAAACTGCATACTTCATGATGAATCACCCTGTACTTTTTAAATATATGAAAGGCTGTCATAATTAACATAGAATGTAGGAGGATATTTGACTGTATGACCAAAATGGCTTCTGTCGAGTGAATGCTTCTGCTTGTTCTGTTGATGTCATGAAAAGTGTTCGTTATGGGTCTGAGCAATCATCTACCAAGATCAGTATCTTGGGTTTAGGCCCAGCGCTCACTGAGGTGGTAAACTCTGGCTGAGATGTAGCACTTCAGACCGTAGGTGGGGACCTGAATGCTCACTCTCTCTATATATATATTATACAGAAAACTAGGAGAAGGAATCTAGCCTAGCTTCTCCTTAATTTGCTGGATTTCTGTGTGCAAGGAATCTTCCTTAAAACTAGGGAGCTTTTTGCTGTTGAGCAGAACAAATGATGTAGGTGTTTATCATGGGTTCATGCACGTTTTGGCTTAGTCACAACCCTTATGTAATATGTACAGTATTTGAACCTTCTTGAAACCTCTGTGTAATTGTGTCCCACTTTGAATCCCATATAAAACTATCACTGGGGTGAAAACACAGGATTCTGGGACTGGATTCTGGGTTGCCTGTGTGGTTTTGCAACATTCCCATCACATTCTTCATCAAGCAGCCTGAACACTGCTGTACCTAACTTCCCCTATATTTAAATTTCACTTAATTCCTGTCTATTTGAAAAGAAATGCCTTATTTGTAATTATTGCAATTGTATGTGTTCAAGCGGGGGGTGGGTGAGTACCATTTTAGCAGCTGGGAGATTATGTGAGAAAAGTTAACATATTTTTAAAAATTGTGCCTTCACCAATGAAAAGTACAATTTTAGGGGGGGAAATTACTAGTAAGCAGATTTGTGCACATTTAATAAACTGAAACATCCAGTCAATCAACTTTTAAAAAGTTGGGTAACAGCACAAATAGCTTAGCTATTGATCCAATAAGATCTGAGTTCCAAATCCCATCTCAGCTGGATCTCACTCGTGTTTTTAGGAAAAATCACTCTCAGCCTAAGTTTCCCAGTCTGTTAATATACTAATAGTGGTTAATAGAAGAGGGCATGCACGTGAGAGCAAATAATAGAAAGGTTGAAATACACACTGATTTTTTTTAATGGAATAGATAATAGTAAAATGAGATAATAACTTAATACAGGGGATTTCTGCTTAGTTCTTTATGCTGTATTCGTTCAACAATCAATGCCTTGTTTTCCTCCCAAAAGTTTCTTATGATGAGTGGAAATGCTGTATCTTGAAGAGGAGGATTCTGCTGAATGGGAAGCAAATCTCTCCACAGTTATAGTACTAAAAGGTCATAACCAATCACCTTTTCTTTCCTCCCTCCTTTTCTTAGTCACATTTTCAATTACAGCCCATGCGTTCAGTATTTCTCAATGTCTGTACTTAATTTAATTTTTTCAGTGTTAAATTGTGGGGGTTTGCATTTTGTTACAGAGGTAACAACAAGTTGGAGCATGCTTGAAAATTTCAGAGTCAGAACTGAAAGGAAATGTGTCTTCAAATGTTCACCAACTTTTCATTTTTTAAACCTCCTTTTTCATGTTTAGTCTCCTCACTGCAGCTGAAGGAGGAGTTGCTAGATGGAGAGGAATACAACTTTCTTCAAGGAGCATCTGACCAGGAAAGCAATGGGTCAGCCAGCCACTACATCAAACAAGAACCCTAAGGGCAGAGCAGGGCAGGATGGTACAAAAAGAGCCTTTCTTCAAGACTGATGTTCCCATTCTGAAGATACAGTTTGATGGCTTCTACTAAGGGCACTTTGCTAACTGCAGATAAGATTTCAATTCAGAATTTTTGGAGGATGAGGAAACTATTTTAGTGAAAAAGATTTTTCAATTTATTAAAAAATAATTGACACTTGTGTTGTATTTGAAGCTTTTAAAAGAATTTTTGTAATATTTTCGAGTTCAGATTTATTGTGCATTGTTAAAAAAATGAGATTCTAATTTTTTGGTAAGAATTAAAAGCTTAATTATAGCAGGATTGCAGGAAACCCTTTGAAGAAGATGAGGTGGTAGTATTTAGTTGAAGAAAAAAAAGCAAATGAACTGTTTGTAACAAGTGAGCCTTCTGGTACAAGCTGGGAGATTCTGAATTTCAAACTACACTAGTCATACCCTGTCTTTTCCATGGTGAAATCATGGGATTCTGATCTTAGGGGTGGTGAAGACATACCAAAATAGGTTGGAAGAATGGAGTCTGGAAAGGGTTCCTCCTGGAAGTGGCAACATAATTTTCAAGAGTTTGGGCTTAAATTTTTGGAGAACGAAGCTGAGGTCCAAGCTTTTTGGAGGCCATTGGGTTTGGGCCGGATACTGCTGCATTGTGGTTTCCTGTTCACATTTTAAAATGTCGAGATATTCATAGAAATGATCAGCAAAGCTTCAGCACGTTTCGGCTGGAGAGGTTACAAAATGGACATGAGTTTGTGACTTTTTTTTTCTTGTGTAAGGAAAACGAGGCAGACGCAAAAGGCCCTTTTCTACAGAAACTTTGTGACAGGCCTGCTTTCCATCCGGGTGGAAGACACAGCTGAGGCAAATAGAAGAGGACATGTCATTTTGCTTTCCCTACCCATTTGGAAGAGCTTTTGGGTTATGAATTGAACTGGCTCGCCTAAGGATGACATGGCCCTGCTTTTAGGCCTCATGCTTGGCCGCGGACACCATTTTCAAGCAAAAGGTTTTCAAGAACACGTAATGACTGATGTGGCAAGAATGCTGAAGAACCTGGAATCTTTCCTCCGAGAGTTGAATCTGTGTGGATATTCGCAGATGGCTTCATTCTCAGAACTAACATGCTGACATTGCCACACTGTGGTGTTGTGACAGGATGATGATGCGTGTCAAGAGTTTTGCTTTTACCAGTAAGGTTCATTAACTAAACTCTCAGGAATTAACTGCTTATGTTCTGTAACTGCTTCTGGGTCATTGCAGGTCCTCTTTAGAGCAGTATAAATGTCAAATTCTTGACTCTAGGGTAGGACTTAGAAGAAAGTAATCCTATAGATTAACCTCTACACACTTTAAGCCTAATGCTTTACATTGGCAACTTGCAAAGCCCCAGAGATGATTTTTTGGCATATGTTTTGAATTTTTAAAAACGCATAGAAAGTTGAAAACCAGCAATTTTGATTCTTTTCTTAATTAACTTGCTCTATTGTTGGGTACATACCATTGGTGATATGCAAAGGTTTACCACATTCTATGCAAGAGGGGATAATGGTATAAAATTTTGTAACTACTGGAAGTACATTTTTTCTGTATAGTATAGGAATGTATGAGAACACTTTCTAGGCTTCCCCCCCCTCCCCCTATAGCTGGGCCATTTTTGACTGCTTCATGTATACATATTTTTAAACTGATTATCAGGTGTCAAATACTTGTGAATTTTAGGTGATAATTAGATATTCTCTGTCTCTAAAAAGATTTTGGTTTAACGGAGCTGCCTTCATTTTCTTTTCCTTGGGTAAAATGGCCGCCCGCTTCCACAAATACTGCATTGCAGCTGTTTTTGAAACTTCTCCAGTTTGTAAACCAGCTTCTAATGTGGCCAGAGAGGGCCACTTTGGAGGGAGGGCAGCAAAACACAGCATTGTGTGTACACACCCACAAAGGGGTTCACTAGATTTCAACCAATATTTTGAAAAGTCACCATACAAACGGACCTAAGAAATCCTCCTCCCTCCCTCACTCCCTGTATTTTTGTTAATCCTTAAACCAGTGCCTCTCAAAACCAAGGATGATCCATGCCATCAGGCCAGTTGATAGAGTGATCTAAAAGTCAGAGACTCCAGAGAGAATTGGAATCAATTTTTTCCCCATTTTAAGGTGTAGTTCTGTTAGCCTTGCTCACACCTAATAAAGGCAGTATACTCTCTCTGCAGGACTGGCATAGTCAAGATTGTTCAGAGCCTGTATTTTCATAGGGTCTGACTTGGAAAGATTTAGAGTAGCCCTTGTACAAGTATTTCTTCTGATTTCAGTAGGGACCACTTGCATAATACTGCTTAATATATAAAAAAAGATAACAGGAGAAGGCCTAGACTAGTGTCCTCTGTCAAGAGGAGAGGAAAGCCAGAAAGAGAGCTTAGATTTGCTTATAAATTGGGTCCTGTATGGTCATAAAATCCAATCTTGAGCTTCACCCAACACAACATACCCTTTAGGTGGAATTGCCCCTTTTACCTGACAGAAATTCCGTATCTAACAACTATATAACGGGCAGAAGTTCAGAAGGTACAGCTTTCTTCATCACTGCACATTTAATGCTTTGAACACTGAACCTGCTGGATTTCTGCTAGTCATGCAGTCTGTCAGGATCAAAGGTGGAAATCCTCCTCTTACCTCTGTTGAATACGGCAGCTCCTGGAACATCCATAGCCACATTTGATCCTTACCACATCAAGCTGAAATAGTCCCAGGGACCTGTTGGACCTTGTCAGACCTAGAACCATGCTACAAGGGTGATCATCTTGATTAGTGCTACGTTGCTAGTCTTTGGGTTTCTGGAGGTAGATCTGCATACATGTTAAGTTGGTACCACTGCCAATCTAATCCACCCCAATTTCTGCCTGTAGGCAGAATACCACATCCCAATACATAACGTGTGTATGGTAGACTTCTGATTTGCGGAAACACCTATTATTAAAATTGCTTCATGATTCCCTTGTTCCATCTTAGTTCCCTGGGGTTATTACTTCCTTCGCTTTGTTTATTCAGTGTTGATTCTAAGCAACATTTGTCTGTGGCCTCTTAATACAGATGACTGGGTGGCAGTGAGCTTTCTTAGTACTGGGTTTAATTGCTTTGGTATGCATGCTTTTTTTTTTGGTATAATTTAGCTCGAAGAACATTCTCTTTATTTTACTGTGAACTAATTAACACAAAATTGGGATGGTGTGGGGGAGGGGGGAAGAGTTGGTCAGGGATTTGATGCCTGTACTGATGCAAAGGGTCAGCTATTTTCAGTATTTGGCGCACATTTTTTTAATATATAAACAAGAAGGCACCACAGACAAGGTCAAGTTGCATTGTAAGTGCTCCTTCTTTTTACAGCCGACCCTGTTTTGTTTTAAATTTCCTTGCTGAATCTGACAAAAGCAAAAGCAGTTATCAGTTTCTTGTTCTATTGATACTAACACGGGTTTCAGTGTTTGTTCGTTTTTATTGTCGTCATTTTTATGTGATGTGAACACCTTCTCCCATCAATATTTGTATTATGGTGCTAATATATTTGGTAACAATCCTTTATTGGAAAGGGATTAAAACTGTGATTAAATTGATTTTTTTTCTTTTTAATTTTCATATTTAAGTCAAGTCTCAGCCATTTATAAAAAAGAAGAAGAAAAAGCATCAACTTTTGCCCTGGAAAAACCATCAGGGCAGAAGTTAAAAAAAAAAATGTTGAATAGGGTTTTTACATCATTTCTGTATGTATTTGATATAGATCAATATCTGTATAAATTTAATCTTTTATTTTCTGGTAACTTGTGTGGTCAAATGGGAGCGTTTTAAAACCTCTAATGAAATGTATATAACTCAGTGAAAATGCTTTTGATGAAATTAATGTTACTTTCATTTTTACCAGACTGCAAATTTTCAAGCATGGATGTGAAAAAAAGCATTAAAAATTATAACTTTGTGTACAAGATGAAAATAATTCACTAAATTTGCCTTTTTTACACAAAATAAAAATGTTAAAAGTAAAGCCAGGTGGGTGGACCTTTTCCTCTCTCATTTTCAGGTGACGCCAACATGAATCCTTAACAGCAGCAATTTGCTTAGAAAACCAGAGCCTGGTCACACAGAATGCCAATAAGGCTGCTGTTCTCATGGTGAAATTGCAATAATAATAAAAGGGTTTGATAAACACAGCCATTATCAGATATGGCCTAGGATCTCCTACAACAGTTTCTGGAACATTAGAATTTCACACTGTTAACATTCAATTGCAGCCCCAATATGAGTCACACAACTTAGTCTTAATCACTTAAAATTTGTGGAGTTGAAATTTCTTAAATTAGCAGCAGCTTCCTCCCTGGTCTGACAAATTTGATCAGCAGTGTTCAGCCAACATCATTAATGGCTTCTAAAACATGGCTCTCCTATAGTATTGCTGGGCTTGATCTTGGATTCTGAAAGCAGTCCTGTGGTAAGGAATATTTCATCTTCTGTCTTGTTGAAAAAGAAAGCAGTAGCTTGTTTCTTCAATGAATTGTTCAAGCTAGCTTAGACTTCCTTCAGGATCCTCAAAAGAGCTCTCACACATCTCCATTTGTAACACATATCTGAGCTAATAGTCCTAAACCACTTTGAGAAACAATGCACAAGCTCCAGTGAAGCTTTAATTTGCAATAGTTACATTTGCCAGGCTATTTTTAATTTGCTGGGCACTCCTAGTAAATCTACAACAGAAACTGTTCATAAGCTACCTTTTCGTTTCTCTAAAATGAAGAAATGAAAACAACTAATAATTCATATTTTATTTCTTAATGCCAATAATCACAAAGGTAACCGTGATAATTGCTCCCAGGACAGCAGGTGGGTGGAATGAGATGCTTTGTTGGAAGAAGGCAGAACTTGTCACCAGGACTAATCTATTCATAAACCCAATCTTGAGCACAAGGTTTGTAGTTCACAAGTTCTTCAGGCTTGAACCACAGATTGATCTCTTTCTGAGCACTTTCCACAGAGTCACTGCCATGAATGATGTTCCTACAGGGAAGACCAAGGAATTCAGTTTATAAAACTTGTGTAGCATTTAGAGACATTTCTGAAAGAAGAATCTGGAACAGAATACTTGACAGCTAAGCCTACACATATGAAATGTCTAGGTTGATAAGAAAGTATCCGCAAGAGTCCGTCAGTTTAGCTTAAAGGATTTCTTAGTCACACACACAAAATGAACCTATCATCGCCTTTAATCAAATGACCGGCCAACTGTACAGGTAGTTTCACGGGTATATGAATGGCTATCAGCTAGCTCTTGATCATCAGTACCTTAAATAAGCAAACAGTTAAGCTGTTTGACAAAAGCCAAGTGGAACGCACAATTTATCCTGTTAACACAAAAGCATTTTATTTTGCTGGAGGTATGCTTACACTACCCCGTCTTCTGTTTTAAATAGTGAGGCATGTATTCTGAACATTTTCTTTTAAAGGTTTTGATAATTAGTAGTACTTCAGTAGCACCTTGCAAGTCTTATTTAATACAGATAAATATAAATCCCAGTACCAACCTGCCCACTTGAATGCAGAAGTCGCCACGGATAGTGCCAGGCTTGGAATCTGCTGGGTTAGTTTCCCCCAACATCACTCTGCCCGTCTTCACCACGTTGAGTCCTTCCCAAACCTGCAAGAATAAACTGGTTTAGCACATATGTTTAACCACGGTACTTGACCAGATGGAAGTGATGAGAGCTTTTCTTATGGAGTATGTTCTTTGTGAAATGAAACAGGCTCTGGCAGGTTGAGAGATCCTCAGAAGACCACGTTGTGGGGGCGCGCGTCATTTTGTCAGGCAACTGATATGCTTGTGAAGACAGAACATTTGTAATGGCGCAACACTGAATTACACCCTTGCTGTACATCTGTGCAGCAGGTCCCAGGAGTTTCTCTTTTTAAATAAGGTGGGGAATGTTTAGGGCTTTTTCCTTCTCTACCCTTTCTAAGTGAAAGATGAAGAGGCCAGTTCAAAGCATGCCCACTTGCAAGTACCACAATTCTAAGTGGATTCACAACATTCGCAGCAGCGTTAGCAGGCTGCAAGAGGAAATTATTTTGGAAACAGCCAATCACTTCATTGTTTCACTGTTAGCAGAGAAGAAAAAAACAAAGCAATAAATTCAGAGTGAAGTTTTAAAAAAATATTCTAAGATGAATTAATATTTCTAGTCCCAATGATCTTAATTGGTCACCCACTCTAGAGGGCTGCCTATTCTGATCTTGTTCACCAAGGAAGGGGCAGAACTACCCTCAGATTTCATCTCCGGTATTTCTTTCCTCTACTCTGAAACAAGAGGCGGCTTGTTAGGGAATCAGAATTAGCTGCAGAACAGAACTGATAAATTACTACAAACCTGCACCATCTCGCCTTTCCTTACTTTTCCACAAAGGCCTAAAGGAGAGGTAAGCTAACCTGTGGCAGCTGGGCTACAACTATATGACCATTGGCCATGCTGGCTGGGGCTAATAGAAGTTGGAACCACACCTGGAGAGTATCAGGTATGAGTCTGATGTTTTAAGTTTACATAAAACCACTTACCATGGGTACTACAGGCCCAGAATTCATATATTTAACCAAACCAGGGTAGAAGGGCCGATCTTTCAAGTCAATATAGTGCTGTTTGAGAAGCTCTTCAGAAGCCTGGAAGAAAAGAGATGGTTAACGCTCATGATTAACTGCAGAAAGGAACTGCTCTGAGCCACCCCTACTTAACCTAAGTCACTTAAGAAGAGTCCTGCTGGATCAAAGCAAAACCTGTCTAGTCAGTATCCTGTTTCCCAGTGGCTAACAAAAATGCATATGGTATAGGAGGCCCACAAGCAGGACATCTAACACTGAGACAGTACACTGCCAAACAAGTAGCAAAGCATTCATAACTAAGCTCAAGAGTTAGGCTATAAGAAAGCAAACTAATGGTAGTTTGGACAGTCAGTACCAACAGATCGTCCAGCAATGCTGCTGCTGCTGCACAAGTTGCATATTATCTTACTCAGTATAACCTTCTAGTCAAAGTCATACCAGCTTGTATGTATTGGGTTACACAGGTAGTTTTAATAGAACCTACTGTACTTAGCAGGGAAGGGACAACCACCAAACTGAAACAGCAGGAAGACGAGGCTTGTATATGTATAATTGAAAGCCTGTAGTTTGACATATACTGAAAACAGGATACATTTTTGTTTCGTTTTCTAAAGTAGCTTTTGCTCTGCCTTAGCCTTGTGCAAGCTACAAAAAGTGTGCATAGGCCAGGGGTGCCCAAACTTTTTTCAAAGAGGGTCAGATATGATGGAAGTGAGGCCAACCAGAGTTGTTCAGTTTTTTAAGGATTGAAGTTATTGAACTTTTTTTTTAGGATTTTACCCCAGAAGATAAACTGCCACAGGAGCCGGATTAAACCCCCTGGCATAGGTGCTAGGCTATATTTAGCTTTCCCGCAGCTATATAAGCTAAATTAAAAAGGCAACACACATGCAAGCCACAGTGTAACCCTTCACTAAATATGTGTCCTCGAGAGCGTACCCCCTCCCAAAATAAAACATTTCTGAGTGAAACAGCACTTGAGCTCAAATCATCCACAATCTGCAACCCATGTTGTGGTTCAAATTTGAATAAAACACGAGGCTGTTTAGCTCAGTCAGTAGAGCGTGAGAATTTTAATCCCAGGTTTGTGGGTTCAAGCCCCACTTTGGGTGAAAGATTCCTGCATTGCAGGGGGTTGGACCTCATGGCCCCTTCCAGCTCTACAATTCCATGATTCTATGAACCGATACTTAAAAGACCGTTTAGGCAAAAGATATCCAAATGTTGAAATATTTCAAATTATGTCAGAAATAAACAATTTAAAACACAAATACAAGCTCACACCTCCATTTCTACCTTTGATTTTGAGCTCTCACTGGTAGTTCCATTATGACACCTCATATACAGTGGTATATGCAGTTAGGTACTTAATTCGTTCCAGAGGTCCGTACTTAACCTGAAACTGTTCTTAACCTGAAGCACCACTTTAGCTAATGGGGCCTCCTGCTGCTGCCGCGCTGCTGGAGCCCGATTTCTGTTCTTATCCTGAAGCAAAGTTCTTAACCTAAAGCACTATTTCTGGGTTTGCGGAGTCTGTAACCTGAAGTGTATGTAACCTGAAACATATGTAACCTGAGGTACCACTGTACAGCACAATAACGAGCTTTCTGCTGTTAACTGGCATCATGACTCACTTGATGGGTCCCTTAGATTGATGAATGACTACTGCCTAATGTTGTACACCTCAGCCCTGTTCTAAATCATGACTAAACTTATCAATTAGGGTAGGGTGGGAGAAGCTGAAATGGATGGATGGAGCAGCAGAAAGAGGACAAACCCTCTGCAAGCAATCAGTTCAGGCAGCTGGTAGGATTGAAAAGTTCGTCCCTCGGCAGCTTGCTAGACAGCAAGGAAGGGAGAGGGATGGATGGATCTACTTTTGGGTTCTGGCCTCGCCCACTGCTGGCCTGCAGCCTCTGATCTCTCTCTCTCTCTCTCCCTCTCTCTCTCTCTCTCTCTCTCTCTCTCTCTCTCTCTCACACACACACACACACACACACACTGCAGAAAAAGGTTCTCTAATCCTGCTTTACTGCACCATTTACCAAGATTAGACTTACATGCATAAATTTCATAGCCACCAGTTTGAATCCCTTCTGTTCAAATCGCTTGATGATTTCACCTACAATTCCCCGCTGGACTCCATCAGGCTTGATGGCAATGAATGTGCGCTCTGTGTTGGAAGCCATTATCTCACTGCAAAAGAAATGCTAAGAGAAGTGAGTAGGATTGGAATTATCCCCACAAACCACCACAGAAAATGAACTTATAGAGGGAAGGAGTGCAATCAAGATAAGTAAGATTTTACAGCAGGACCAATGCCACAGAAGAACCTAGAACAGGTTACCCAGACCTATTGCCATCTAGTCGTCGTTGGACAGCAAATCCCATTATCCCTGACTGGTGGCTATGCTCACTGGGGCCGATGGAAGTTTGAGCCAAACATCTTGAGGGCATCAGGTTGAGAAACGCATGTGAAAAAATGCACAAGGTACTTCCTGTTTGTCAAGGTGACCGCTGTTCAACATTAAGAGGTCAACTCACCAACAGTAAAACAGGGCTAATGAATTATTATTATTATTATTTTGAATTTCTTGTAGAAATGTTAAGTTAGCTTTTAAAGGACAAGCTGTGTGATAAATTGTCTCCCTTGAACTCTATGAGAAAGTGGAACAGCAGTTGGCAGCCTCCAATGTCATTCCTTCTCTGCTCTTACGACTTTTGATATCTGCCATCTTAGGAGCACACCAAGTCCTGTGATTTCTTAAGAATCCTTTCAGTAACTATATACAGTTTTCATCTTCAAGTTGGGAATGCATGAAAATCTTACTTTAAAGAGCAGCCCAATGCATTCGAACAGGACACAAAAGCAACCAGGGAACAGACCGTGTGCTCTTTGTTTCATTTTTTAAAATATCTGCAGCATCACCAAATAGATAATAAGGAATCGTATTCAGGGCCATAGCTGGCGGGTGGTAAGGTGGGCCCCTGCCAGGGGCGCAAGTGAGGGGGCGCGAAAAATCGGCTAAAAAATATGTCTATGATCACATGGCATGGCGTATTTGAATGGCAATGCCCATGAACTGCGGGGAGGAGGGCTGTCCCCCTCAAATATTTTAAGGGACGGGAGCAAAGGTACCTCGGCCCCTAGGAGTTGGCTCCTATGTTATGCGATATGATGGAGGTCGGATTTCATGGGGGGTGTTTTGGCAGGCTTTGGGGCTTCCTCCCCGCCCTAACTAGAGTTGCAATTCTACACCCCTCCCCCCCCCAAGCACCGGGGCAGGCACCATTCGACTGCACGTGGGCAAGGCTTCCTCCACCATCCGTCCACGTGTCGCGGAAGAGCCCTTTGTTCCCCTCCCCTCGGGCGGCGTCTATTTGGGCCTCTCCGCCCCGGGGCTGCAATCCTACACCCATTTACCCGGGAGTAAGCCCCACTTAATCCAACGGGACTGACTTCCGAGTAGACAGGCACAGGCATGTGCTCTGCGGCGGCAGGGCTGCCTTCTTCTTCTTCTCGCCTCGGCCGCCTCAAGTTACAGAGGCCCCCGAGGGGAGGCGAGGAGAGGTGGCTGCGCCTCCCAGGCGGCTGCAAAATGCGCTTTTTTTGGCAAAAGGCAACCCCCCCCCCCGCCATTTCCTCTTTAGCCGGCTCCAGCTGCATTACTTCCTCCTCTTTTTTTTTTTGCCCCAGAACCTCGTTTTGGTTTTTTCCTCCAGGAAGAAAGTGAAGAAAGACCAAAGAAAGGGGTGGGTGGTGGGAATAAAGCTCACCTCAGCTGCAAGGAGTCTGGTCGGGCCCGAAGAGCGTGTCTGCAGCTGCCGTCTCCCTGCAAACCTTCAGGGGAAGAGGCGGAGCAAGGCCGGGCCGGCGCCGGAGACAAGCCGGGAGGGGAGCAAAGGAGGCGGGCTTGGTCGTCGGCTGCCTCCTCCTCCTCCTACTCCGCGTAGGTCCCTCGCCGCCGCTTTGGTTTTTGCAATCTGAGCAGGTGGTGGTTCCCCGCCTCACCCCAGGATCCCGAGTTGGAGGGGGAAAGCATGCCAGCAGCATTTCTGTGTTTTCTCCCCAAGTAGTGGAGAGAAACAGTCTGAACAATATGCAGCACAAAGCAACCCGGAGATTGCTTATCCTCAGAACTCGTTGAAATGAATGGACCTGAGTTATATAGGGCAACCCTAGTCGTGTCCGTTACTTAGAAGTAAGTCCTATAGAATTCAGTGGGGCTTGCTCCCAGGGAAGTGGGGATGGGGTTGCAGCCTCAGTCACGTTCGTAGGTGACAACAGGACTACTCCATTGGATACAAGGAAGGGATTTTAATCTGCATGGGGCCAGGGGGCTGATGGGAGCCGATAGGGATTTTGACAGGTGGGTGCTCCTGCCCACCTGTCAGATTTGGCCTACACATTTGGCCTGTGAGGCAGATCCTTATAAAGATCTAGCCTGTGGATCCTAAAAGGTTCTCCACCTGCTCTAACTAGGGAGAGCCCATCAGTACAAGCCTGCCTCTCTGATGCAGAGGGGAAGCTGATAAAATCTGATAAAACATGCTTTGTAGCAGACTGTCTGGATTCCCATTTTTTAAACAACGCAACTTAAAAGTCCTCTGCCTTTTTGCCAAGAACATGTAAACTGTGCTATGATGTGCTTTGCTTTTTCCACCAAGCCCAAGCATGTACTTTGCTTTCCACAGTATCACAGGCTTCTCAGTGTAATAATTTCATGAGGTATTTTTGCTCCCATTAATATGTTGCAGCCTTTAACCACTTCCTCCAATCACTCCTCAAATTGATTTATTTACAAAGGAGATCCATTACTTCTCCCACGCCTACCAATAGTTAAAGGAACCCACACATCCCCAAGTAGATCAGGCCCTTAGGACACAAGTTATTTTTCACAATTTCCTTGCTGAAAATCTCTTCCCCTCCTCCTGCAAAAGATGCTATTAACACTAGTTGAGGCAGGAACATGTAATAAGGATACCCATCCCCCACCACCAATTCTAATACCAGCTTCCTGGATGTAATTTCTAGTGGGGAAACTGGGAAGGCGAAAGTGTTAGCACCCTTTCTTGCAGTGCTGTAGCCTGGGTCCACTTCAGGTGGATCTTCAGCTACTTTTAAATCTTGTGGAGAAAATAAACAATCATATGTATTTGATCATCAAACATGCTAAACTGGGGTTTGCACTGTGGAAAGGAACATACTTTTGGGGAGGACTGCTCATGATTTAATGTGCTGAAGATCCCAGGTTGAAACCCAGCATTTCCATGTAAAAGGAGCAGCTGGCAGATGATGGAAGAGACCTCTGTCAATACTTTGGACTACCAATCAGAGGAGACACTACTGGAATTACCAGGTGTAAGGCGATTTCTTATGCTCAGAGTTGAGAAATTATAATTCATGATCTGAGCTTTCAAACGTACAAGCCAATCATGCTGTGGAGCAGCCTGTCTGCTTTCTTAACTGTGATACATAGCATGAATTAAGTTTTTGTAGCTCATGTAATCAAGATAAGGAAACGTATGCAGATGTAATGAAGCTCAACAGAATTAAGAAGCAATACTGTACAATGCCTTCCTTTCCGACAACAAACAGAGTAATAGAAATGAGTGACAGGAGGCACAGCTTAGTGAATGTCCCTCGTATTAATCGCCTTTTCTCATAATGCATTTCATAAGCATCTATACTAATCTTGCCTTAAAATGGCCTATGAGCAGAGTTAGAATTAGAGGGGATAAAAGAGTTTAATAACCATCTGTATAAAGCTTTATTTTCAAAGTGATACCGCAACCCATGTGTATCCACTAGAAGCAAAACCAACATTTAAAATTTGCCAATATTTGTTACAATTAAGTTTTATCCAGTGCCACTATTGAGGATGTGTTGTGGGAACACTGTCAACTTATGCAATCTGCTGATGTGGGCAAGGTGCTGGCAGCAGTACATCTGACCACATGTCCCCTTGACCCCTGTCCCTCCTGGCTTACTAATTCTAGCAGAGGGCAGCTGACTGGTTGGGTCTAGAGTGTAGTTAACACTTCATTGTATGAGGGATGGTCCCTGCTGCCTTGAAAGGGGCAACTCCTAAAGCAATTGACTCTGGACCCCTTCGCTAGAGCAACAATCAACTAGTCACAAATAGCTGGTCAGGGGCCTGAGTCTCCCTTGGTCACCCTGATGGATGACCTTTGCAGAGAGCAGGACAGGGAGAGTGTGACCTTGCCTCTGCTTCTTGATCTCTTGTCCATTCACCACGGAATCCCTCTGGACTGGCTCTGGGGAATGGGAATTGGGACCACAGTATTCTAGTGGTTCCAATCCTGCTTTTGGGACAGAGTCCAGAGACTAGCATTGGGAAGGTGCTTTTCGGCTCCCTGGGCAGCTATGTTATGGGCTGCCACTTGACGTCATCTTATTTCCAATGCTATTTACTATCTGCATGAAGCCACTGGGAGCAGTCATTGGGAGTTTTAGGGCAGGGTCTATTTCTCCATAACATAACTCAGCTCTATTTCTCTATAACATCTGATTTAGGAGAGGCCATACAGGCTCTGGGCTGTTGCTTGGATGCAGTGGTGAGATGGATGAGGGAAAACAAGCTCAGCTTGGACCCTGGCAAGATGGAGGCACTGTGGGTGAGTAACTCCCATGTCTGAGAAATTGGGTCAATTGCCTGCCCTGGGTGGATTGTACTCCCCCTGAAGGAAGAGGTTCACAGTTTTGGGCTGCTTCTAAATCCAGTTCTGTCACTTGAGGTTCAGGTAGCCTCAGTGCCTTTTACCAGCTGCAATTGGTACAATAGCTACACCCATTCCTGGACCAGGAAAGCTTGGTCACAGTAGTCCCGTTATTGGTTACTTCAAGGCTGGATTACTGCAATGTACTCTTGTGAGGCTTCCCTTGCACCTGATTTAGAAGTTGCAGTTAGTACAGAATGCTGCTGCACGATTGCTGATAAGAGTGAGACTTTGCCAGCACATAACACCTGTGTTCAGTGCCAATTTGCTACCGGGCCAGGTTCAAATTGTTAGTATATAAAGCCCTTAGCAACTGGGGACCGGTCTACCTGCAAGATCACCTTATATGCCAATTCAGCCACTTCAGTCTGTAGAACTGGCACTCAATATTTTAGTGTGGCGGCATCTACACTTTGGAACTCCCTGCCTTTTGATATCAGACAAGCACGTTCACTGTGCACTTTTGGCACCTACCCAGATATCTAGAATGTTGGTGTGTGTTTTAATCTGTTTTTAGTTTTTTACTGGTTTTAATTTTTTGTATATTTTAAATAATTGTTTTTCCTGATAATTTCATTGCTTTATTCTTTTTGTAAACCATTTTGAGGGTTGTTTTCTTTACAATCAGGTGGTATATAAATTTTATGAAATCAATCACTCAATCAAATAGATTACATATTCTATAAGTGGCTGGGGAAGCCCAGCCAGATGGGCGGGGTATAAATAATAAATTATTATTATTATTAAGTATTCAATATGCTGTGATTACACCACATTTAAATTACACTGTAGTGCAATGATTTGCATTGCTGCATTCATGACCTGGCAGAAGAGCCAGAAACAGAAGAGCCACTCTGCTGATCCATTCAGGGATTATGTTATTTATCACTTGTGTAACGTATTCAGTGGTAAACGGTTTGTATACAGTAGCTAATAATAATAATAATAATAATAATAATAATAATAATAATAATAATAATAATAATTTGTTATTATTTATACCCCACCCATCTGGCTGGGTTTCCCCAGCCACTCTGGGCAGCTTCCAACAAAATATTAAAATACAATAGTCTGTTAAACATTAAAAGCTTCCCTAAACAGGGCTGCCCTAAACAGCCCTTCTCATCTTGCAAACTCATAAATATGAACAACCTAAAGTAATGGTTGACTCCATTGAGTACAGTAAATATAATAAAATTAAGCATGTGCGTTGGATAACTGCTGAAGGAGAACAAAAGTGTGTTCTCTTCTTCAACAGTCCTCACCCCATTTCCTTTTCTAATGAATAAAAGTATATTCCAGTTTAGTTAAATAAAACCTTCAGTCAGCACAACAAATACAATTAACATTTATAAATCACACAGGGCATTTGGGGAAACAATTTTAGGGGATATTGGAGGTAGGAACTGTTTCCAGATAAACAGAACAAAGGAATACACAAGTAATACATTAGGTTTTAATCATAGATCCATGGGTGCTCACAGCTTGTGTAGTCAACAATTTCTTCTGGTGTGAACCATAGGTTGATTTCAATCTCAGCATTTTCTACAGAGTCACTGCCATGAATTATATTTCTGAAAGGGCAATAAAGTTGAAAAGAATTTGATCATTATGGTAATCAAACAGAAAAACATAGAAATAATAGTTTTATTGGCTGTTACGTTTTGACAAATGGACAATAACCCCTCCCCCCATATTAATTGTGCATATACTGCAACAGAGAAGTGTCTTTGCTGGATGTAACGTGAAACCCTTGTGTTTCAGTAATTGTTTGCTACTATAACAAGCTATTTCTTTTCCACTCCTTTGCACCCTCCTAAGACAAAGTGTTTATTTCCCACAGGTGCATATTAAACTGTGTGCAAAGTTTCCAAGTCTTAAATTTAAACCACAGTCCAAAGTTTTTATAACACTACTTGTTAGACAAGCCTATGGCGCTCAAAGGGAAAAACAATATCGCACAATGTATTCTTTGTAAAGGAACTCTGAGGTGCTACAACAGCAGTGTTTGATGCTTTTAGCAGGCCAGCCTCTCTCCATAACCTGTGCTGCCCCAAGGCCATCACATGCAGTAGCATAAGGAAATGTGGCAGGAGGAACTATGGAAAATACAGGCACTGAGACAATGACAAGGGCAAAA